AACACTGTTCTTTTAAGGACTTTCTGATGTAATGCCATATCTACCTCTCTTTGTTCCAGGATCCTTCCCCTGTGCCAAACTACATAGAGGTGGAACACGTGGGAACCCAGGGGCTGTTGCACCGAGGAGGGCAGATCCACGGGGCGCTTCCCATCGCCTCGGGGGAACGCTGGAACCTCATCATTTGGATGAGATCATCAGCCATCCGCAACCAGCTGTGTCCCATGTGCAACCAGAAACCCCAGCTGGTGGAGGCAGAGGGGTTTGGAGACGGGTTCACAGAAACCTGTGAAGAAGACGTGCCTGAGACCGTGGATCTGTGCTCGGTGTGGTAGCAGGTGGGGCATGCCTTCTGCAGAACAGATTGCCTCCAGCTGCTTTCTGCCTTCTCGGACCGTGCTGACAGCCTCGGGAGGACGTTGAGTCATTTAAGAGGGAGCTGTCACCGTGCAAGGTGACACCAAACCGGTCCTGCTGGGAAGGAAGCCAGCTGCTCCCACTGCTGCTGCGAGGGCTGGCGAGGGCAGGCAGCCACATCGGAGTGCTGGAGGAGCGCGGAGACGTGCAAAGCCCCAGCACTGACTCACTGCAAGGACTGCCGATACGTTCAGGTGTGCACACAGACCCGACGCTGCTTTTCATCTGCGGAGACGTGTGTGCCGGCGGGCGGTGCGCTCCGCGTGTACGTGGGAAAGAGCAGTGCAATAAACGCCCACGTGCACCGCTTGGCGCTGTTCGCAGAAGCTCGCAGGGACGCTTCGCAACCGGCCGCGGGAGGAGGAATGGCAGCCTGAGAGCCGCAGCCCAGCGGCAGAAGCGCTGCGCTCTGGCTACCGCACTCGGTGTCCCCGCGCCGTGAGCGGCTCCGCGAGCGCTTCGCTGTCGGTTCCGCCGAAAACCGGAACCACAGAGGGCGGCACAGGGACCCGGGCGGCGCCTTGTGAGTGAGTGACCGGAAGTGAGCGGGGGAGACCGGAAGTGAGGTCTGGGGCTGTAACGGCGGCGCGGCGCTCGGTGTGCGCGGCGAGGCCCGCGGACTACGGTGAGCGCGTGCGCGTGGCGGCGGCGCGGAGCGGCGGTCGAAGGGACGGGGTGCTCGCACCTCTTAAAGGGACAGCGCGCATCTTAGATCCCTTTGGCATTCTCAGTCGGAGCGTAGCGCTGACCTCTCTCCGCAGGCCCCGGCGCACCATGGCCCGCGGGCGGTCCCGGAAGCGGTCCCGGAGCAGCAGCAGCCGCAGCCCCTCTGGGAGCGGACGGGAGAAGCGCGGCGCGAGGAGCGGTGCGGCCTCCCCGGGTCCCCGGCACCGGCCGAGCTCTGCGGCCGCCAGGGAAGGTAGGGAGGGCCCTGCCCCCGCGTTCCCCCTCCTGCCCTCCCCCCCCCCCCGTGGTGCTGTGCTGAACTCCCTCTGTGTGTTGCAGGAAGGAAGAAGGAGGGTAGGAAGAAAAAAAAGAGGAAGGCAAATGCTTCGTCCTCTGACAGTTCGTCCTCCTCCCGCTCCTCATCATCCTCCTCCTCCACCTCCTCCAGTGACAGTGACATGAGAGCGAAGCGGCACGGCAAAAGGAAGAGAGGGAAACACAAAGACAAGAAGAAGAAGAAGAAGATAAAGAAGAAATTGAAGAAGTCAAAAGAAAGAGTTAAGGAGGACAGAGGCGTGAGTGAGGCACTGCCCGGCCCTTCACTGGAGCTGTGGCAGAAGGAGCCACAGGTCGACCCTGGGCCAGGTAACTCCAGGCTGAGGAATGGCTGCTGCCTCCCTGGTCAGGTTGGGGTTGGGCACAGAGGGGCACCTGGCTCTTCTCCCTCTGTGGTCCACAGCAGTGAATGTAAGGAGCCACGCTTGTGAGTTCATTGATAAATTCCATTCTGATTTGTGAATGTGAGCTGGGAACAAAGATGCTGGATGAAAGGACGCTGTCAGCAGTAACAGAAGTGACAGCCAGGTTGGATGGGGCTGTGAGCAACCTGGTCTAGTGGGAGGTGTCCCTGCCTATAGCAGGCAGTTGAAACTGCATGATCTTAAATGTCCCTTCCAACCCAAACCATTCTATGATAAAGTTGCTGCCCACATTCATCTGGGATGTGAAGCACACCCAGACTGTCCCTTGCGTGGTTTTTTGTTAAACCACTGGTATCTGGTGCTGTGTTCCTGTCTGCTCCCTGCAGACTGGTTCTGCCAGCACAGCTCTGACTCATGGACACGTTCCAGTTTTGACAGATGAGCAGAAGTCCCGAATCCAGGCTATGAAGCCAATGACAAAGGAGGAATGGGACGCGAGGCAGAGTGTTATCAGAAGAGTGGTGGATCCTGAAACAGGGAGAACCAGGTATGGCTGCTTTGGTCGGAAGAGAGGTGATGGATCCATCGCCATTGCTATCCAGGTTGAATGGGATGGGATACTGGAAGATGTGCAGTACTGCCTGGAGTCAGGTCCCCCTCAGCAGCAAAATCTGCCATGCAGATCCTCTCCATCAAACCTGCTGTAGCTTACCCTGAAAGTGGCAATTTTATACCGAGTTTCAGAGCTGCAAAATGCTATTTCCAGCTACAGGTGCCCCAGCTCCAGTTAGCATGCAGATGTGAGTGGGGAGGGAGTGGGTATGTTCCCCTTGGAGTTACAGACTGAAGTCCATATAGCTGCCAAGTGGAAATGACCCAGTTTGTAATAAGCTGCATCTTCCAGCAAACAGAAAAAATCATGGTGAGGAGAATTGGGTATGACAAGTCCAGTCTTAAAATAGAAGGCAGCCTGCGGGACTTAGGGAGGTGTGGAACAAAGGTCAGTTCCATGTAAAGCACGTAATGAAGACATTTAAATTCCTATTCATGCTAGGGGTTGTGAGCTGCCTTTGATAATGCTGGAAATGTGCTTGGGTGAGATGTCCTGATCTGGCTGCCTTCCAGGCCAAAACTGGCTCGTGTTTGAACGGCCCTGCAGCTCCCTCAGGCAGTCAGGAGCAGAACTGAATTCAGTTAGGGGGGGAAAAAAAAAAAGTTTTGCAGAAGCTGAGTCCACTGCTGCTGACAGTGAAGCTTCTGCAGATGGTGGGGTGGCAGATTTTTCTATTACAGGTATTTTCTCCTGCAATGTGCAAGGAGATGTGCAATGGCTCAGTACATAACAGATGCAGGGCCCTCAGCCTTGGACAGGGCTAGTTGGTCCTGCAGGGGGATGCTGCTTTCTCAAGGGACCACAGCTGTGCTGGCTGCAGCTTGCTGATGCTCATCACATAAGAGCAAGGGACAAACCTGCTGTGCTAAGTTTGATATGGCCAAAATGATGTGTTGTGGTTTAACCTGGCAGGTTGCTAAGGACCACACATTTGTTCACTCACTCCCCTCCTTCTCAGTGGGAAGGGGGAGAGAAACAGGAGAAAGAAAACAAGGTAGAACACTTGGGTTGAGATAAAACTATTTACTAAGAGAAAAGGAGAAGGATAATAATTATGACAAATATATATAAAAGTATATATAACAAGTGATGCACAAGCAATTGCTCACCACCCCCTGACTGATGCCCAGCAATGAGAGAGAGGTGAACTCCCACCCCCTTCCAAAGTCCTTCCTCTTGATGCTGTGTGGTATGCAATTACCCTTTGGCCAGTTTCAGTCAGCTGTCCTAATTCATTTCCCTCCCAGCTCCTTGTGCCCTTTGCTGAGAATGACCTTGGCTCTGTACAACATTGTTTAGCAGACACTATAAACATCAGTGTGTTATCAGCGTTGTTTTTCTCCTAGAACCAAAATATATCATTAAACCTGACGCTCTTAAGAAAAATCCATCCATCCAGATGAAACTAAGACAAGATGGCACCTGATAGAGCTTCAAGGGTTGGGGCAGTCATTGGGCTAGCAGAGGTGCACCAGCCCAGCTCCTGGTTTTCATGTATCTGTCCCATACGTTACTGGAGCATTTTGTTCAATTTTGTTTTCCTGGCACATATTGCATGGGGCAGGGGGAACCAGCGTGACTGGCAGATAGCCCTCACGCCTCGTGGTCCTGTGCTTGTCTTCCAGGCTTATTAAGGGAGATGGAGAAGTGCTGGAGGAAATCGTCAGCAAGGAGAGACACAAGGAGATTAACAAGGTACTGGGGCTGATGGTTGGGTTGTTTTGCTTCTCAGGGGGCCCCACCAGGGCAAAGAGAGTCCTGGCAGCCCCACAGAGGCCCCAGCCAGTGAGTGCTGTGGTCTACTGTCCCGGTAAAGGCTGTGCTCTGAGTGCCCATCTCTCCTCTTCCAGCAAGCCACCCGTGGGGATGGGCTGGCCTTCCAGGTGAGAACGGGGATGCTGCAGTGAGCCTGTGCTGTAGCTGTGCTGGAAACTTGTCTTGCTGCGGGCACAGCCCTGGCGCACTGATGAGCTGGACCTGCAGGCAGCACTGCATCGGTACGCTTCCCTGGGGCAGTGTCATTCAGTCTGTAAGTTACTGCCTGGGAAGGAGAAAGACCTTAATGGTTCATCTCCCATTAAACAGCTTCTCTCCTTCCTCTCATAACTGGGGCCAGCATGGCTGTAATGCTGCTTGCCCTTGTGACCCTTTTAAGGCCTGAGGAGCTCAGCAGCACAGAGATGCTGATGCCTTATCTCTGGGCTTCTGTTGGCAGGAGCTGGCACAGGGTCTGCAGCAGGGCTGCAACACTGACAGCTGCGTCTTCCCTTCAGGGGCTGCTTTTGGTCCCTTTTGTGCTGCTCTGTCTGCCCCACACGCTGAGAACCTGGGGACAGGGGTTTTGCTCACCCATTGCGTGGAGAGGAACCTTTGCCTTGCTCTCTTCCTGCCCTTTCCTGCAGTGTGGCAGCAATGCCATCAGCAGCTTGGGGGCCCACACCCACAGTAACACAAATGCCTGTTGTTTTCCCCCACTGCAAAGTCCATACATCTATGAACTTTAAAATAATAAAAGTGGTTATAGGACAAATGAGTGACGCAGGACTGCTCTGCACAAATTTCCATGCTCTGTTTGTTGCTCTAACCCCCATTAAAGTGGCGCTTGCTCACATCCTGGGCTTTGTGACTTCTGTTTCAAGAGCTTCCCAAATAAGCAGACGGAGACGAGCCTTCCCATTTCTTTAATCTGTGTAACTCACAATGATACTGTACACAAAGCACACCCAGGCATTGGGACGATGCACTAACAGCAAGGAGGAGAAGGAAGTTGTACAGAAGGTTTGTCACACACAAGCAAGTCGTCTGCACGGCGCTGTAGACGCGGCGCTGTGCCCTCTGGTGGTTCCCCACACACCCACCTGTCGCTCCCCCAGAGCAATTTTTTATAAATAAAATAGAATTAACATCGTTGAATATAAAACCGACAGTCGAGGGTATCAACAGGCTGAGAGGGTGCTGAGGACGGGGAAGGGACCGTAAGGCTTCTAGAACTAATAGGAAATGCAGCAAAGTGGCAATACCTGAAGAAGGGGCTGCTACAGCAAGCACGGCGGCTGCTGGCGGAGCGGCGGCGGCGGTGAGCCTTTGGCTGGTTCCTGGCTCGCGGATCGGACACTGTAAACGTTTTTGGTATGAGAATTTCACCTCGTCTGACGGAGTGAGCAGCCCAGGAAAGTGACTCGGAATGAATGCGTGGGCTTTTTTTTTTTTTATTAATAAAAAAAATTAAGATGTTAAAGGGACAGCGTCAGGTACAAAGTCTGGCCCAATTGTTTGGGAGTACAAAAAGCTGCTTGTTAGAAAAATCTGAGCTCCACGGTGGAGTTTGATTCTGATGGAAGCAATGGAAAAAAGAGAGGAAAAGGAGAACAACAAAAAAAAGAGAAGCCTAAGGCAGCCTGCGCAGGGTGTGCTGTGTTGTGCAAGTGTGGGAACAACATGGGCTGAGCACTGCCCAAAAGCCAGAGGGAGGAGGCCAAGAAACTCTTCATAGTTTTTTGTTTCAAAGCAAATGAGTTATTTGTAACAAAGATAAATTAGGTCTTTAACCTGACAGTGCCCCTTTAGTAAGGATGGAATATACGTTTGTGTTTCCCTCCCTGCATCCAAATGGATCCTCTTCCAGACATGTGGAAAGGCATTGAGTCACACGCATCGCTCTCCAAAACAGCTCAGAACAAACAGGTTATAAACAGAGTTAAACTATTGCTATTGTTCTTTGAGTGAGTAGCACGTTGATCTTTGAAGAGATGAGTGCCAGATGGGGGTGGCTGAAGATAGACTGATGTAGACTGTGATGGACTGAACTGGTGAAGAAAACTCATTGGCATATTTCCTGGTAACTACACCCACATCATCTGGTATTATTGCAGCAATAAAGGTCCTGCTCTACAATTGCTTCTCCATGTTGGATTTGCACAATGGCAACAGATGGGGGCAAGGAAAGGAGCCGGGGAATTTCAAGAAGCTGAACAAAGGGTGAGGATGGAGCGCTATGATTGTCAGTCTAACTGGTCAGCAGCTGCTGGGAACGTGAAGTGATGGAGAGGTGAGTATAATATTGCACTTCTGCATTCATTGACAGTTACATTAAAGTTGGTCCATGAAGGAATTGCTTTGTACATAATGCCTGAAACAAAAAGCTACATTTTTAAATATTAATAAACCCTGAAGGCTCCAGTCCCTCCAGCCATTTCTTCCTCTACATAAATAAATAACTTTCAATTTTACATACCCACTTTTTATGTTGAAAATTTACATTCGCCTCTGTTTTACACTATCTACACATAAGAAAACGTGAACATCTCATCAGCATTGGAAAACGCACAGATTGTGCCTCGCCTCAGTGGTGGACTTTGAGGAAAGAGGAATTTTGCAAAGGCCATATCCAAATTTGCAGAAATTATTTTGTGACGTGGTTTGGTGACTTCAGAGGATGGATTGTGGCTTGGCTTCCTACTCGGATGGCAACTGTTCCATCGAACGTTTGACTAGCAAAAAAGCTGGGACAATTCACATTGGTTTTAAACCCAGTAAGCTCCAGGTGTACATTCAGAGGGAGCTCAGCTGAGTCCACAGAAAGGGAAGTCAGTTTTCGGTAATAAAAGTCATCAGATACATTCTGTCATTGAAGAGCTATCAAAGAGAAGTGGTTACGCGGTGTGCAGTCAGGCTGCAGGACGGGGAGCTGCACTGTGTGGGCAGCAGCCTCGGCTCAGCACTGTCCCTCAGTCGACCCAGAGCGCTGTGAGCACGAGGTCTGAGGTGCCTGATGCGAGATCTGCCTACCGCGGCCCAGGGCCAATGAGCAGAGCAGTGTTCACAGTGCTGCGTGTCTCAGCGCGGCCGTCCTGCGCTTCGTATTGAATCAGTTAATAAAATGAAGCAGCCAGTCTAAAAAATTTTGTTATAAATAAGATCATCGGAAGTAGAAAGTGATATAAATACAGGAAGGTGTGGTGGGGGGGGGGGAAGCTGGGTTACACGTAGTCGGGGAGCTCAGTAGGACTATAAAATCTCCACGTGAAGAGGCCAACCGGAGCCTGTAAATGGGCCCCCCAGGTGTGTGCAAGGAGGGAGCCGGGCCTCTGGCCGGGGGCATGGGGCTGTGGGGCTCTTTGCTGAGCCCCCACACCAGGCACTGTTTCACCTGCAGCACGGCGGGCAGCTCCCTCTGCCACGCACGGCCCCGGCTCCAGCAGCGCAGCGACCGTCGGCTCAGGCACATCCACTGAGAGACACACCAGGAATTAAGATATGGCCTTTTCTTACGCTTGCCTGACTCTGTTGGCACACTTCCTTACAGTCTCCTTACTGCTGGAAAAACTTCTGCACAGGATTATTTTCTTTAAATATGTACACATAGATATATATACGTGTGTGTGCATACATATATGCACATCTATATACATAGATATACACACACACACACCCTGGTAGCGATACTTAATTGTCATGCACTACAAACAGTTGGGTGTAGCTACATGAGATGGTAACAGGTTTCCATTCTAAAAATCATCAGTGCAAAAAACAATGAGGTTTTACAGTTCAGTAACTACAGGTCAAAGAAGCGAGTCTGGTTCCCACTGAAGCTGCTACTGAACTTGGAGAGAACCCAGGAAGAAGAAAATGTCTCCGAGGTGGGTATTGAGAGAGTCAGACCCTGCATTTGGATGAGAAGAACTGCTTGCAAATATATGGTGGTTAGTTCTGGAAATTATATATAGCAATAATATTTGGAGATTTAACAGCAAATTAAGTGTCTGAGGCTTGCGACAGCTCAAACAGAATAGCCTGTATTCTTCTGTTCAGAGGTCAATGCATTCAATTCCATCGGCTTCGAAAATGTCTCTTTAAAAAACAATAGTAGTCTCAACCCCAGTTGCTTGGGCGTGAATCTGCTGACATTCTGCCCCTACCAAGAGCATCGACACCCTTCTGCTTTGCCACTGCACATACTCCTTGAGAACATGGCTGAACGTGAAGCCCTCTGTACAGGTAAAGCTCTTGGTCGCTCTGCCTGGCACAGCCCATGCCAAATCCCACACCTGGGGCTGTCCATGCTGCTCACTGACCCCAACCCCACCCCTGCACCAGCAAAGCCCCTCCGGCAGCTCCTGGGAGCCACGAGCAAATTCCCCAACCTCAGCCCCTGTTCTGTGGCTCTGAGGACAGCACTCGGTCATGCATATCGGAGCGATGGCTAAGAAGGTGAGGAGGCACGTATTTACAGTCACTATACCTGGATAAGAGAAGGAGGCAGGAAAGAGCACAATCTTGACCTGGAGACTTTCCCCTCCAATTTCCAGCTGTTCCTTGAGCTCATGCCGTACAAACCTGACGCTCCCGCTTGCAAGGCCTGCACGTTCTGTGTGGGAAACATCCCATCTCTTCCCAGAATACCACGATGTTATGAGAGTAGCACCATATTTACCCTTCCACGTTAACGCCGGCCTCATCCCCCTTTCCTTTTGTTCTCTCCTCCGGTGGCTGCAGCCGACAGTCGCTGGCTCTGGCTCGGCTACTTCTGCCCCAGGAGGCCAGACTCCAGGCGGGACGCTGCGCTGCGGCCCCAGCACCCCGTGGCGATGCTCATACTTCTTTGGCTGCGTTCCCTGTCCCTCTCCTTGTCGCCGTCGGACTGGCTCTGGGTGCGCTCAGGGCGGTGGCCGGCGCTGCCTCCGGCTGCGGAGGGCTGCGAGGAGATGGTCCGCAGCAGGTGGTTCCTTTTGCGCAGGAACTCAGTCTGGCTGGGCAGCCCGAAGCTGCCCTTCCGCAGCGCCATGCGGGTGGTGTTCTTGGCGGGGCGCGAGCGGTGGTTGTACTCCAGCTGGGCCAGGTGGGCCGCGTAGCCCTCCGTGATGAACTGCAAGACAAGAGGGATGAGGGCAGGGAAACCCATCATGGTAGGCACTATGCAGCTTTTTGGTGTGCCAGGTTTGCTGGGGGCGATGCACAAGACACCGAGCCTTTCAGACATGATAGGTCCTGGTACACAGGGTGGTTCCTGTCCTCTTAGAATCACAGAATTGCTTGAGTTGGAAGGGACCTTTAAAGGTCATGTAGTCCAATTGCCTGCAGTGCACAGGGACACCCACAGCTCCATCAGTGCTCACAGCCTCGTCCCCTCACCGTGGCTATCTGCAGGGATGGAGCACCACCACCTCTCTGGGCACCACACACATTGCTTCATCATTCTTATTATACAAATTTCTTCCTTTTACCCAGTCTAAATCTGTTTATAAGTTTGAAACCAATTCCCCCTGTCCTATCACATAGACCCTGTTCAACTCTTTCTTAAAGCCCCATCAGACACTGACAGGCCTCCCCAGAGCCTCCTCTTCTCCAAACTGCACAGCGCCAGCTTTCATCCTGTCCTTGCAGGGAGATGTTTCATCCTTCTGGTCATTTTTGTGGCCCTCCTCTGGACTCACTCTACCAGGTCCATGTTTTTCCTATACCGAAGGCTCTACATCTGGACACAGTAACCAGACAGCAAACACCAGCTCATCATCCAGTCCTAGGGTGACCGAGTTCCCATTGTGTCCCCTCCAATGGTAAGCCCATGGCTCTTTGGGCAGCACCTGCAGGGCTCAGACCAGCTGGCTCCTACCTGACACTGGCTCTGCAGCTTCTTGGTAGGTCGACCAACAATGTAGATGTGTGTGGGTGGGAGGCTGATGGAGCTGTACACAGAGATGTCCTTGGTGGATCCGTATGCCGCATGGATCCTCATGTGGAGCTGCAGAGAGAAAAAGCAGCATGCGGTTGGAACATATGGGCATTCCATGCTGCTCAACAGGCAGGGTTTGTTGTTTTTTAATAGCATTTGTGGGAATCTTAGGTCAATAACTTATGTAAGTTCCCAGCTGGATAATGCATCGCTGAGCAAAGCATTAATTAACAGAGCTGAGGATGTTTACAGGCCTGAACAAGAGGAGTTAGAGCAAAGCAGATCTGCCCTTGCTGCCTTTCCTTGGTCCACAGGGGGCAGGGATGGTGCACACTTGACTGCCTGCTTGTCAATGGGGGAAAGAAAGCTTTGCAACCCCCTGCACAGCTAGCATTAGCACGGAGTGTTCCCCTCCAGTGGCCGTGCTGCCACATGCAATACTGCTACACAGCGCTGCAGGACAGAGGGAGAAGGGACAGGCAGCAAAATACAGTGCCTCTGAGGGCAGAGAGCAAGGGCAGCTCCTGGACAAAGCCCTGATCAGAGCTGTTCAAGGCAGGGCACACACACTCTGGATGCTGGCAGTTAATCCACTTGTCTAACAGAGAAAAGCTTGCTTTATCCAAACGTTTTCTGAGCCTCTGTGCAGGGTGACATTAAGACCTCCCTGGGGTTGAATACTTGGGAGATGCTCTGCGCACCTCTCCAGGTTGGGTGGTACAAGGCCATTCCCCGTTCCCTTCAAAGGGCATCTCAGAGCAGCAGGTTACACCTGAGCAGACAGAGAGGCACTGAACGGGTGACTAAAGCACCCGAGGAAGAGAGGCACTGCTCCCTCTGTTTCACTTGGCATTTACTATTGGAAGAACCTGTGATGAAATGGAACAGTGCAGAGCAGAAATGACACAATTTAACAGCATGGACAGTTTGTGGAGCAATAAAAGGATGAAAATAAAATGAACAGAGATTAATCTTCTACTGCGGGCCACATTGCTTCCAAGAGTCTGGTGCTGACAAGGGCAATTGGATGAGCAGCAATCTCCACCTGTGCTACGGTCGTATTTCAGCAGATGCAGACTTACATCTGTGATGAGGGATTTCAGGAAGTTGGCCTTGTGCCGCAGCGGGTCGTGAACGAGCCCATCGCAGAATGAGACGATCCCATGGGGGAAATTGTGCTGTGCTAACCACGCTACCACCCTCTGCTTCTGCATGTCGGGGCGGCCCGTGACGTAGATAATGAGGTAGCCAAGGTCTTGCCAGTGCCTAGAAGAAAATCCACAGACCCATGGATTACAGACCTAGTGCAATGCTATGGTCAAAGCAAACCAACTGCCCCAGCCCCTGCTGCTCACCTGACAACGTCGACTGCTCCGGCGCGGACTTTGGGGTCGCTGCCCATGATGGATACACTGGCAGCAAAGGAGCCATCGATGCTGAACACCACAAACTCTGTCCCCTTTGGCAGAACTGTGATGTAGCTGTCTGCATATGTGTGGTCACCCCTGGAAGGGAAATGGGTACTTCCAGTCCTTGATATACAGAGGTTCTTTCAGAAGGTATCACCGAGTACTGAAGTGCACCACAAGCCCTGAGCAGCACCCAAACCTGTCCAAAGCCTGTAAGAGCTATGCCACCCTCAGTTACAGCAGCGATGGACACTGCAGGAAGGACTGTGTGTTAAAGTATGGCTGAAAACTGTGCTCTGGAGACCTACAGTCAGTGTACTTCAGTGACTCAAAGTGCCAGCAACCAGAGCTCAGCTGGAACCTCTTGGGCTGTAAATTACCCTGAGTACAAAGTTCTGTCCTTCAAGGACAAGTCTATATCATTTAGAATACACTCAGTTGTGCAGTTTTGCAAGAGACAGCAGGCCATTCACCTACAGCTGCAGAAGGCCTGGTTCTGCAACTAGAGCTCAATCACCATCCTTCTGATGATGTAAGAGGCAGAATAAAACACAGACCCTCCTCTTACAGCTGCAGAGCACAGTTTTGTTCCTGTTTCTAACAAACCAGGCTCTGATCACAGTCAATAATCAGAGCTGCCACACGAGGAGGCATCATATTCTAGGTATCAAATTTCTCTTTTGTTATGGGTAAAAGCTCCACGGCTTTGTCACACAGCCCACATGGCATGTTTCAAGTCTATTGTATCCTGTCACAGACTAAGCCATGGCCACCCAAGGTACCTCACCTGACCACCATCTTGACGGGGTACACGCCAATGCCCAGGCGCCGGTTCTCAGGGATGACATAAGAAATTCTGCCACTGCTGTTGCTGATCTCAGTGTCAAAGTAAACCCACTCTCCTGATGGCGGCTGGGTCATGATGTGAATGTCCACCTGGGAAGACAATGAGTCTGGGTCAAACATAGCAACTGAAGACCCCGATGAGCAGTAAAACAGGCCAAGGGTGAAGACCTTCCATCCAAGCCCCTTTGGCCTGGGTCCTGCTTCCACCCGCTGTGTCTTGCTAGATCTGAGCTGAGAAGCAATGGAGAATTGTGATGCAGGGATGAAACCTGACCTTTGTGCTCAGTGCTGTTCCTGGTAGAAGGCACCACGCAAGTTGAAGCAGGGGAGCCTGGCCAAGGGCAGCAAGCCCACGCAGGCAGCGAGGGAGCAATGACCAGTGCTGTCTGTCCCTGTTCCCCATTCTTTTCAGCACACGGTGCACAACCCCCATAGCAGCTGGTACCTTTTCTCCTGTGAGTGTGACCATATCTAGTGGACCGTACATAAACCTTCCAGTCAGGGTCTGGGGCCCATCTTCATTAGCAATGGTGTCATTTATCCTGTGGTTGGCTGTGACATTCTACACAAGTCAAGAAGGAAAAAAGAAAAAAGCAAAACCAAAGGGTCAGTCCCATGAGTTCACTGATGAAACACCTCACACGGAAATGCCAAACACAACCAGGCAAATCAGAGTGTGGATTTCTCCCTCCAGTTCATCCACAACTCTCAGCCCCTCTCTGTGGCAGTGCTCCCTGCTGCTGCAGGGGCAGCCCCTTACCCGCAGCTTCACGTGTGTCCTCTTGCGCAGCCACTTCTCGCGGGGCTTGGAGGGAGTGAAGACAGACACCTCCTTCCCATCCAGCTCCAACACGCTCGAGTTCTCGTGCCTCATCACCTGTGGGAGGACAGAGCCCAACAGATCAGTCACTTGCACAGTGCCCCTTCTCCTGCCTGAACTCCCTTCATCTCCCCAGCCAGCCCTGCCTAAGGATGATGCCTGGACAGAGACGGCCCAAGTTTACTGCTGGGCTTTTGGTTCATCAGCTAGCAGGTTTTAGAAGTTCCTCCCATAAGTAAAGGGAAAATAGTTTTCTTTTGAACTAGCAAAGCCTGTGGCCACCACTGCCTTAATCCTAGCTGGGATGCAGATAAAAAAAGAGGGAGAGACTGTCAGGAGGCACAAAGCTGACTCAAACACAGCAGGAAGAGCGCTGTGCCAGAGCCCTGTCCTTCCTCTAGGCATTCACTAATCCCACCTACATTGCTCCTACTCTCCCCTTTCCACTCAGAGTTGAACACCACAGATCTCAAAGGCTAATCGGTATCTCAAAGGCTGCTGTAAGACTGGGAGGTGACCCTGCAAGAAAACTCCACAACTGGCAGTAGTCCTTAGTGATCCTGACCTTCCAAAATAGTGAGGAGACTCTTATGTGCGGGCTCTTTTACACAGCCTGTGTGGCCAGGAGCTCTCCAGTTGCCCAGGCTGTGGTAGTCTGGCACAGGACAGCTTGCTTTGCAGAGCTGAAGCTGTTTTAATTCCAGGGAAACAGAAAAAGGATGCAGGGAAGATGTGCTTGCAAAAAAGATGCAGGGAAGAGATTTCATAGAAATCCAAGGTAAGCAGAAAAACAAATGTTACTGAAAATTATTTAGATCAGAAACCTATTTTGAGTCTCACTGCGGCTTGTTTTAACAAGATTCAGTCTTTGGAGAATAAAACTATTCAACAGTTTTCTGCCTTGTCCAGAGATTAGAAACAAGTCCTTATTAGGGGAAGAAGTGGCTTGGCATTTTGTAAGGACAGCAAGAGGACAAAGAATGTGAAAAATTAGAGTTTCAAGGCAAAGATGAGCAAATAGAGACAGGCACCAGAGGAGGAGGGATGCCACACCACAGAGGCAGTCACCAGCAGGCTGAGAATGGATGGAGAGCAGCAGGATATGAACTGCCACACTGTGCTACAGACCCAGGTTTGGGCTAAACCCAGCGGGGCATTTTGTGTATGACACTGTGATGACTGTTCCCACTATGCACAGTTATGGGTCTCTTGCTCTCTTTGTCCCCATTCCAGTTAAGTTCGATGTGGTTTCACAGCAGCTATCCAGCAAGCATAAATCTTGCTGGGTTGGATACAGCCGGAGAAGAAAGGGTCTCCCTGGATTACTGCTACAGCTCTGCTGCCTCCAGCACTGACATCTCTGCTGTTTATGGTTCCCACACAATTCTGAAAAGCACTGAAAGAAAGTTTGCCAGCAGAGTCATAAATAATTGAAGCTGCAGTGAAGGAGGCTGAGAGAGAGGGGGGACAGCTTAACAGCTGAGCTAACACAAAGCAAGCCCAAGCACCGTAGTGGCAACACTCCTGGTTTTAGTTTTCTATTCCCTATTTCCATGCTCTTAAGTACCTTTCCTTAAGGAGGTTCATACTTTGTAAAGCATAAAGCTCCCCCCCATCTCCAAGGAGCTGAAGAAAAACATATCTGTTTTAGGAAAGAACATAATTTAAACAGTAAATTGAAATCTCAGGCCAAATTTAGGTTGACAGAGTCCGAGGTGTCAGGCTCCAGAAACTCACATTCACCGAGCCCCAGGAAAACTGCTTTGTATTAGAGAAATGAAAACTAAATCCCCCATGGTAACTTAGAAACTGAGAACCCAACTCTATCTACCAACTCATGTTAAACTCATACAAAACTTCTTCGGTTTTACTATATTTTTTATATTTACACACCAAGAAGTTTTTTTTTTTAAGTTTCAGACTAGAGATCCGAAGCCACACACACAGAACAGCTCACTTGCAAGAAAGAAGAACCACCATCTTCTGCCACTGGGATCTGATGGGAAACAACCCCAGGCTCACTGCAAGGCTCCTTGGTCAGACTGTCTAAAATCTGCTCTGATAACAAAACCTGGGCCCAAACTGAACACATCAAACACAGCATATGTCCAGTAATTTTGCATGGCTCTGCTAGCAGTACAGTTTAAACACAAAAAGAAAGGGGAGAAGGTGGACCTGCAGCAGCAGCAAGGGTTATGGGAATTACAATGGAAAAGCAAAGAAGCCCCCTCCCCTTTTTTCCTTTCTTCCCACAGCATAAAGACGACCCAGGGGACAGCAGGGGTGGGAGGACCTGTCTCAGCAGGAAGGAGACGACGTCTGTGGACTCCCAGTAGCTGGCGTGGAAGAGATGCGGCAAGGCGACCGTAGGGAAAGCTGTCAGAGCATCAGGACAGTAGAGAGCATAGTCGATCCTTTTGGTTCCCCACCACTTGGCAGCAACTGGAAGCAAAAGACTTGTTTAGACAGAGCAGGTTTGGCCACACGCACGGTCTCTGTCCCAGGGCTCTGGATCCTGGCACCAGGTATGGGGAGGTTGGTCCCTTGCTGGTCACACTGTTAAGAGGCAACAAACAACCCAGGGCTCAGAGCCTGCCCAGACCAAGGGAGGAACACGTGGGGGCAGCAGCACTTGAGCTCTCCTTATTTTAAGGAGATAGGAAGGCACCAGAGGGCAGGTATTAACTGGCCACTAGTCCAGACCCCAGGAGAGGGACCCAAGGCTCACATGCAGCCTGGGAATCCCCGTGCCAAACTAGAAGACAAAACATGTCTCCTCTGGAGATAGGAGAGGAAGGATGTGTGTGTATTTTGCCCACTGCAGCATGTGCCCAGATCATCTCCAACCCTGCTTCAAACTCCTTCACCAAGGAATGAAAGACTTCAGCATCCAGATCTTGGCCACACTGCACAGGATCAGAATACTGGGAGTCCATGTGAGATACAGAGTCCATCACAAAGCAGGGTGCTATGGCACGTGCTGCCAGGACTGGCAACCCCCAGCAAATCCTTGTTGCCCTCCCAGGCTACCAAACTGCAGGTGGCAGATGTCCACCCTCCCTTTAGGAGCACAGGCTATGAAGAAAGCATCCAGAGGTTCTGGTACTCACTGCACAGGGGACTTAAAAACACACTGTTTGGGTGGGCAAGGTTAAAGAAAACACAGAAAAAAGTTTCCTCCCCCAGAGTCAACAGCTCAGACACAAGTGAGTGGCAGCTGCCATACTCAGGTGGGACACCATCACACTTCAGCACTGCTCTGAACTCTGCCTATGCGCACATCCTTTCCAGTTCCATAACAAGAACATTTCAGCCCAAAGCCTCCAACCCTTATGGCAGTGGAGTCCTTGACTCCTGCACATTCCAACCTGGAAAAACAGCCATGGAAAGAAAAGATGAACCTGGTCAAGACAGCAAGAGGAAGAGCTGTGTTTGCATGCAGATTGCAAGCTGGGGCTTTGACAGCCTTTTTCCTCAAATTTGGTTTTCTCTGTGACCAGTTTTTATGGACTTCCAGGAAGGCTGCCAGATATAAGGTACAATCCAACAAAACCCTCTTATTAAAGGAAAGCTAGTTGGTGATGAGCCCAGATGATGAACTTAAATAACGGACCCAGCAGCCTCTTCTGGAGACTTGCTATATCACAGCAAAGCATAGAGACTGACAGCATCAGCACATCCCTGCGCCCAGCTCTGGTGTGCCAAATGCCCACTGGGGACAACCATTGGGGTTGTCCTATCCTAATAGGCCCTGCGTTTCTGGAGAGGCTCCTTCTGAAAGAGGAGGAGGGCATTGCTGGATCAACACGGCTTTTCCAGATCACACGTGCACCTCCTCGCAGCCACTTCTGGCTCCCTGCCTTCCCAACTGGCAGCTCCTGGTCATGTCCCAGCCTTTCACTTCACGTGCAAGTCCCCAGCTTGGGTAACTTCAGAATCTTTGCACAAAGCAGAGAGGATTTTCTTCCATGCTCAAAAGACAGTATGAGGGCAGTGGAGGCAGAAGCGTTGCCCCAAAGCTTTGCCTAGAAAAGCTCCTGCCAGGTGTTAGCAGTGATATGACGGTCCTTTGGAGCAGAGTGACAGAAGTACTTGTTAAAATGCAACCAGAAATTGCAGGTGCCTCAGTGAAAGCAGAAGGATTTCTTGCAAAGTGTGGCCACTGAGTGACAGAGGAGATTGGTTGGAGCTGGTCTCTCCAGAATACCTTTTCTGATGTCCATGTCAGGTATCCGAAGAGCATAGTCTGCATCCTGACTCGATGGCCCTTTGGGTTTCCTTCCCTTTGAAGGGACTTCGTGTTTATGCTGCCTGTGTCTCTTGGATGAAGTTTGGGTGGGGGATTTGTGAGGGAGTGCAAGTAGGGAGAGAAGGCTAAACCCTCTACAATGGTTAAGGTGGTGTTTGGTTTCTAAAAAGTAAAATAAATACAAAAACAAACAAAAATCAAAACAGGAGTCACACTTAATACAGCACACATGCTGCAGGCAACACCAGCTCCATCCTCCAGAAGCTCTTGCTGAGGAACAAAACCTCCTTTATGCAAGGGCAAATGTTTTCTTCCTACAGAGGTCATCTCAAACAGGACAGAAGCCTCTGCCCAGTGCCCACAGCCTTTCAGCAGCTCACACTTCCCCTGGGGAGCGTTATTAAGCTCAGTAATTAATTATGAAGTGAGTTATTCAAAGCCCTGTAATACAGCGTGTTGGGAATGGAGCATCTCTTAAGTTTTCACCACTTTCTGGGGCAAAAGTACAGGCTGAAGTTTTTTGGTTTTTAAGTTTGTTTGGTTTTCAGCAGTCCCTTAGGACTTGCACTGTTAAATTCACACTCCAGCTGAAATAAGAACAGGGTGAACTGTTAGCAAAGGCTGCTGTTCCTTATGGTATTTGCTAAAAAGTTATACAGGTTTTTATTAAAAATTAAAGCCATTATTTTCTCTTCCTTCTGCTCTGGCACACAGGTCAGAACTCACTGACTCTTGGAGCTGCCCTCTAGGCTACAAAAGAGCTCAATTTTCAATGCCAAGTAATAAACAACCTGATCCCTTTTCCCCCTTCCAGCATTATAGAAAGGCTGACTCATCCCCTGCTTCTGTGGATCACATTTACTGATCAGCATCAAGCTGCACACCACCCTGCATTATAGATCTAGAATCACAGAACTGTTTGAGTTGGAAGGGACCCCCAAAGGCCGCTGTTCCCACTGGCTGCAGCGCACAGGGACACCCACAGCTCCATCAGTGCTCACAGCCCAACCTGACCGTGGTTGCATGGAAATGGGGCACCACCACCTCTCAGTGCACCCTGTGCAGTGCCTCACTGCCTTTATTGCGCTGATCCTGACTTGTTCTGCCAGACTCAGCAACAGCAGTGCACAACCATCCCTCTGGATCAACCCCCACCACACACAGCAGCCAAACAATGCTCACAGTTATCAATTCTTATTATTTTGAACCATTTACACCACAATCGTCAGCACAGTCCAACATGCATAAGGCAGCTCTGACCCCTGTATTACCATCCGGTTCCTCCAGGGCAGACGGTAACATGAACTGCTACGACAAAACCAGGGGAACAATTTGTTGTTATTAATGGAAAGCATACCCCAGACAGACAGACAGACAGACAGAAGCTGCGTGGCTCTGACCTGGAGCAGGCCAGCTCAGGGTGTGGTGCTGAGACAGCAGTGGTGTTGGAGGGGGTGAAACACTTACTGTTGGCTATGTTGGAAGCAGTGTAACTGTCTGCCATTCCTGAGACCTGGCTGGCAATGCTGATCTCACTGGCTCTCCGGAAGCCCCTGAACTGAGGGGCTGAAATGGGGGTGGACAGGGACGCGCTTTCCATGAAGACGGCACCATGAGACTGAACAACATCTGCTACAAAGTTGAAACAGGGAAATCAAAATATTAGACCAACAGACAGAGACGGGGCAAGATGAACTCGAGAGGAGGAAGAGGAGGAAAACAAGGCCCGTAGATGCAAAAACCTTTCAAAGCTGATCTGAATGGAAAACATTTCATCGGAGCTCTAGTTGGGAAAGAAAGCAAACACCGCAGCAAGCAGAGAGGCATGCGGCTGGAGAGTGGCCTTTGATTGAGGAAAGCAAAATAATTAGCTCAAAAAACCCAACCAAATCCAAAGTGCCAAACAAAATAATCCAGGCAGACTTACTTAAGCAGCTATAGCAGAAGCATGTGTCATACATACAGATGTGAATATATACAGCTTTGTATATACCCACAGAGACAAAATAATCAGGGGAGGGAGAACAATTAAAAACAGTGTTTAAAAAGGGATATTTGTTTTCTTGCAACATTTAGACTTAAATAAACATCTCCAAGACAGAAGTGTTAATACAGAAAGTACCAAGAAAACATTTCATGCCTGGCAGGGATTAAATTTGAACTTGTGTTTTATTGCTGATTGATACAGCCAACTCATTAAATTGAAGCAAGGGCTATTGAGAGAAAGGAGTGCTGAGCTCTTACATCTTCAGGCGGTGTTGGTGAATCAGGGAATGCTCAGACTGTGAAAACAGAGCTTCTTCTGTACAGCTGCAAGCCTGGGTTTTAGATCCCAACCTGAGGTCTACCAAGTGTGCCTTAACCCTCCAGTACATCGATACAGAGCAGGAGGATTTCAAGTCACGCTGATGTGGAATCTATATATACATGTATCAGAGGGAAACAGACCTCAAATGGCAAAACCAAGAGATGCTGGAAGTCAAAATAAAATCTCTGCATTTCAGTTTTCCCCCTCTACCAGTGGTACCAGCACCCACCCCTCTGCAGATGCGATGAGGCCAAATTCAATGCCTCTGGGATATGCCTTGATTCTGCAGGGCAGAGGATTTATGGTGCCAAGTGCACTCCACAGCAGGTAGCACAGGTGTGACAGTAACATGCATAAGCAAAGCTACTCACTCCTGTTTTAACGTTGCCCATCTCTGCTGTACCTGAGCAGCAGCATCTGAACTTTTTTCAAGACAGGGCAAAGATTGGTGTCCTCAGGGGCAGCAATGCCACAGGGAAGTAAGCACATTTCTCCCCCACACCAACATCCTCCACCTATTTCAGCCACTTTAGATATCCCTGGGTTTGATCCTAGCACATGGTTGGCTCAGGGCGTTTTTGGTTTACTTTAACACAGATCTTTTTGCTTGGGGCTACTGATCTGCTTCCTCCAATGTCTCAGTTCCCAGCAGCAGTGTCTGTGCCCACACAAATCCTGCTGCAGCAGAGGGAAAGAGAGCGTTCGAAGCAGAAACCTGTACCCACGTGTTGGTGTGAGAGTTCTGTTCTCTGCAGGGAAAATCAGACCACAAGCTGCTCTGTGTAAAAGCTTTGTGGACTGGATGATCTGAGCCCCAGTGGGAGCCTGCCCTGATGATGAGCTTCGCACACTGCCCACGTTGTGCCTGAAAAGCCATTACCAGCATCACTTTCTCAGCACTTTCCTCCTCTTTTTACCTTGCCTTGAGCTGCTGGCTGCCATAACCAGCGCCTCTGAGCCCATGTGCCAGCGTGCCTTTCTTACTGTGGAAAGCATCAGCACGAGCAGACAGCTCAAGGACAGGCTGTACTTGGAGAACACAAGCCAAGCCAGGGGCTGGCTACATTCACCCACATGGGGTAAAAGGTCCAGGTCCCATTGCTGGTATCTACTGGCTGCGTGAGCTGGAACAACCTTCTCAGCTCTCCAGGTTACCCCTGGCCTGTACACACTGTGAGATTCTTCTGCAATTATTCTCTTCCATCACATCACATGGCTGCCCCAGCACAGCTGCAACACAGATGATGCCCATCAACTTCCTTGAACTCAGTCAGATGTAGTGAGAAGGGAGCTTGGCTTTGTCTGTACTAGGAAAAGCGCCAGGCTCTGGTTTTAGCCAGTACCGACCAGTGAAGCCTGAACTTCTTTCCTCTCCCTTAGAAATAAACATCTGTGGCCTGAATTAGGAAGCAGCTGGAAGACACACTAAAGAGCATTACAACAATGCTAGTCAGGAGGAAAGGCCGGGGCAAACATGGGGCTGCCTGGGCTGATCGTGGCTCTGGCTCTGTTAGAGTATCTTCACAAAAAAACAACCTTCCACAGCCCCTCCAAACCACCACAAAGTCATCACCGCAGTGATTCTCACTTGTACAGAAACCCAGTCTGTTTTAGTGTCACTGAACTGCTCAATTCAGCACTGCCTGCACTGGTGTCAGAAACCTGCTTGTCTCTAGGGGATGGTGTGCAGTTCAAACGCAGCACTCCCGTGCCCAACCCACCTGCGTTGCTTTCACATTTCTCCCCTTCCCCATGCTACGTTCCCTCTGTCTTTGAAAGATGTCAGTTTATAAAGAAAAGGAGGGCCAGGAAACAGCAGGGCAGGAAGCAGGGGCAGAGAGCTGCCCCTCCAGCCAGGCTCCCTCAGCCCAAAGCTGCAGCAACGGCGACTTCCAGATGAAATACTGGGACACAACTCACAGGAAAACAAACAAACAAACAACAGAAACCTAACAACTTATTTCCTAAACTCTGCCTATTCTTTGTAGCAGTAAACTCTGCCTATTTCTTTTGGGGCAGCACTGTTCTTGCCTTTCAGAAACCACAGGGGCTCTCTTTAAGAATGATGTGAGCAGGATGAATTGAGATTTTACTGCACTTCCAGAAGAGGTGCTATAAGAAACAAAACGACTTTTTTTTTTTCCCCAGCTATAGATCTTTTAACACTCATTTCTACGCTGTTTTTTTTTTTTTTATGGACTCATTTGTCAGTGTCCTCAGTGATTGTTTTGCACTCAGCGAACGGCACCAGGCCATCCTCCTAATGTACTGCTGGCACTGAGTTAAGTCCTGGGGGTACCAGAGTGGCAGATTTCAGTATGTGCTATTTGCTCTGCCACAGAAGCGGGAAATGCTGAAAGCACTGAAAATATGTAAGGTTCAATAAAACACAAAAGCCAGCCAGCTGCTCAGCAGAGCCAGGCCTTGCCTGCATCAATCACCGGCCAGCGCTGGGCGCTCTGCAATTGCTACCCTGAGATCAAGAGCCACGCAGAGTGCTGCTGTCCTTATGTTTTCATGGTTGTGGAGCTCCTGCAGACCAGAGGCTGTACTTGTTGCAGTCAAAGCAAGCACTGCTCGGCCACATCGTGCTCTTGAAACACAGGATAAAGAGCAGAGAATCTTCTGAAAGCACTGTCCTGACAACAGGATGTATCAGATGACAGCTAAATGGCACTTCATCAGTGACCTCCAAAGGGATTAACGAATAGAACCAGATCCCTTGCCTCTGCTTTGTTATGGAACATCATAGCCAACGCAGCAACTGCACACCTACTAATCACCTGCACCTTCAGAAGACACAGGCAGAGCCTATCTGGAAGAGTCTGCAATGTTGCCATCCTGTATGACCACATAACATACTGCACTACTCATGGACAGTGATGGTCAGCTTATTAAACAAATAAAATGACAGCAGAACTGGGTTCTCAATTGGGAATAGAAAAAAAAAAGTGAGAATGGGCACAGTGACACATGGGAAAGAGAAAACTAAAAGTCTCATTAAGATCGCAGTTGTAGCACCAGCCGCCACCAGAATAAATGAGGCCATGCAGCATTTACCATAGTAGAACAAAGCAAAACAAATGCATTGAACTTTGCTTTTAAGGCAGAAGACCAGAAATTAACTGTAAAAAGCCAACACACAGCCACCTTGGGGTCTGAAAGCCTCATTCAGTGTACTCAGCAGAGCCACAAGGACTGTCCAAACACGGAACACTCAAATGGACAAAATCTGGTCTGACACAGCATTAATTAGACTGCTGGCCACAGCACAGTGTGGCTGAGTGCTGGGGAGCTGCACACTGCAGTCCAGTCCTGTGGGATCTGCACATGAGCAAGGCACCCAGAGACTCTGTGCTGCTGTGCCAAAGCCTCTTCCAGCAGCACTGCCACTAGAAGAGGAAGAAATGAAGTATGTGGCAGCAGTCTCCCCTTCCAGACTCAGCACCGTGGTTCTGACTCATTCTTTTCCTGCTGGGTCTCCCAGACCCCAAGCAGTAATTTCACGTGGCACAGTCTGAGACACAGCATGAAGACTTCAGCTCCAGGAGGCAACAGAATGGTCTCCAAAAAGCACCCCGAGTACCCAACACCACAGACAATACAAACGTGTAGATTACACACACTCAGCAAAACCAGCACTTTTATTGGAAACATCTTGCCAATTCAGTACGGGAACGGGGATACTTGTTTCCATGAAGCTGTCCTGGTGCTGGGCAGCACCCAGAGGGCTACTTTCCATGAGGAGGATGGGATTGTTCTGGATTGTCTCAACTAGAAGCAGATGGGGAAAAAAAAAAATACAGAAGGACAAAGAACAACAGACATGTGGCCACGAAGTAATAACGTACAAACAATTACAACTGAACACTTCAACTATGAGGAAACGGTCTTCAATGAAAGGACAACCTTCAAAGAGAGTAAAAGAAACAAAACATGGGTGGGTTTCCAAACAGACCCACATTGGAGAGATTGGCTGGTAGCAGATGAGAACAGAACGATGGTATTTCAACGCCAAAAGAAAAGGGAGCCTCTTCAGCAGCTTCTCCAAATGAGCTAAATCTACAGATAGCCAGCAGACCCAGAGAAAAATGAGAAAAAATACATGCTCCATGGGAAGATTTACTTGAATCAGACTTACAGCCTACACAGTGAGCACAGGAGTAAGCAGAGCTGTGAATTTGATTCCACTCTGCGAGTTGGTTGCAATGAAATGGGGACCCAATATCTAGTACAGATGGCACAAGGAAAAAAATAATGGAAAAAAGTCTAAGAGTCCAGGATGGGGTGAAAAACAAAGCCAGCTACCTGCGCAAGGAAATGCACACAGTGACATTATGGAACATTTTGTGCATAACTAATTGTAGTAATTGAGTTTTTGAATTCCACATGATCATCAAATCATATACCTTAATTACAGCAACAATTTACTTTTCTGGAGCATCCTACAATGAGCACTTCTGTGTTATTAGTGGCTTTGCAAACCATGGTCAGAACAGCCCTTCTAGATAATGCCCGAATCACAGCCATTTTTGGCTCTAATGGAAAGGAAGAGCCTGTTACTTTACGATAAGCAAATGAAGAGGTGTTGTTTTATACAGTCAGAGAATTGAAAGTTGCTTTTTTTGGTCAGTTTCATTCATCATGTCAGAGCAGCATCTCTTACAATAACACAGCTCAAACTCAAAGAGGGTTTTGAAATCACCCTACCCTTCCTATAGCTGAGCTCATTGCCATTTCACTCTCTCCATTACATCACGTACAGGTTTATCCCTAAACTTACACACAGCCAACCTAACAGAGGTGTAGGGAGGCACAGTAAATTAGTGAGATCACTGCTGTAGCACGGGATGATAACCAGAATGCAGGTTTAAGATATATGTATATTTTTAAGGCTACTTGCAGCTGATACCAAGAATATACACCCCCAGAAATTTGCTTTCCAACTTGCCACAGATTCCCCAAGCTGCTGTAACTGGACTGAGTACAAATGCAGTTGTGGGTGGATCCATTTTTAAGAGGTGTTGCAGCAAGATCTTTGCTATATTTGACGAGTGGGGTCTGCAGAAAGTATTTATTCGCTTTGCTAATTACAGATTTTAGTTTATGCCTGTTTAAACAAATTAGACCTCCTGATTCAGCAATTAAAACCATCTTTAAAGATACAGATACAAAGCAGACCATGTACGTGGAAATTTACCAGAGTGTTAGAGGGGAATGAAAACAAACAAAAAACAAAACACACAATCCCAGTCTTCCTAGATGGTGGCTTTTGCATTTGACTCCAGTTTGCCAGCATGATTTCTTTTACAGTAGAAACTCCTAGCTAGTCTGTTGACTTTAAGGAGTCTTTGACTAAATGTTCTAACAAGGGGAAAAAAACAGTGAAGCCCCAAAGCCCTTACTCTGGAAGGAGCTAAAGCTTTAGGTGAAATGGAAAGGCCAAATTTAGTTCCATGCAGCAGTTAAATTCCCCGAGAACTCCTTGCAATGAGAGCTTGCATTAAAATGGCAACAGACCATGAGAGTCTAGGCACAGAAGTGAAGTGAAGATGGTAGGAAATAGAATTTATTTTATTAGATCAACTGCAGGAGCACTGATGTAATGGGAGCTGAGCCAGGGCATGGTCAGGACACAATTGTTTCAGATGAAACCTAGCCAGCCAAAAGAACATGCACACAGCCATTTTAGACATTGTTACTGTGCAATTGGGGTAGAGCAAGTGAAAAGGCCGCTGATGGCAGAGGAGTCCTAGTAGACTAAGTGTCTCATGGGCAAGGTGTAAAAGCAGCAGCCTGACCATTTGCAGGAGCCAGTCCTTTGGCTGGTTCCATGAAAAAACAAAGGGCACAAGCAAGTGAATCATCTCATTATCTTACTGCCGACTTTGCTCCTTCCTCTCTTCACTGGCACCCTAAACACCAAGGTCCTAAAACTCAGCCAAGTTAATCATGTTCCATTCAGTCCCAACAACAAGCACCAGCTTGGGTGTAAAACATGGACTTCAAAGGGAGCTCATTAGATTTTGACTCTCAGCAGCTGATGGCCTCTGTATGACAAATGACAGGCATTTGAGACACAGGGCACTGATTTTGTTGGAAAAAAATGCCTACTTTTCTGATAAACCAAGAATAAAGTTAATGTTACAGGGCCAATTCTCTTTCTTGTCATTCCCAATTGCTTCGATAACTTCATGTGAAGTTTAGACAGCTAAACAGGGATCCAAAGTGACTCACCCAGAACAGCAGAATTGCCATCACCCAGTGGGAACCTCTGGTAACGGGGAATATTAAAGGGGGGCAAAAGGTAGAACTTCCTCTCCAGAAGAGGCTCAAGGCGTGAAGCAGATGGGTCTGCAGGGTGGAACAGGTTATAGACCTGCTGACAAGCTGGTCTGAGCTGAAAGACTAAAGAGATGGAGAAAAAAGTGTTCAAGTATCACACAGTTATTTGTCTATAAAACAGATACCTGTTAAGGGTGGTTTTTTTTTTTTTTTTTTTAAGTACTGAAGATTTATTACCTCCTCTTATTCCATTTTAATCAACTGAAATATTTATCAGTACATTTACAGATTCAATAATTTTCCCAGTATTCTTAACACTTGGAAGTAAAGGACAAATGAATAAATTCTCAGTATTGTCCAGATCGTAGGGTGACCTGATCCTTTGTGGCAGAATAAACATTTTCTTTACAAATATTTGGGTTTTTTGACTCGATTACTCAGGGAACACAGCAGTTTACATCAGGACTTACTGTCAAGAGCTGGAATGACAGTTTTTCGCAGTGCAAGAACCAGACCCAGGGGAGAACCGAAGAGGAAGAAGTCAGTGATCTCAAATTCAAACTTCCCAATATTTCCTCCATCCAGCATAGTGGAGCTACTTGATCGCCTGGATCCCGGGTCATTTCTCAGAACACTAGAATGTAAACTAGAAGAAGACCAGAAAACAACGTCAAAATTTCATCCATGCTATTTTGTCATAATTGAAGGCCAGATAAGTGATTGACAGCGAGTGTAATTTCTGTCTCTCCTGTGAAGGAACTGTGCCAATCAACCCAATGTGCCTCTGTACTGTAGATTTCCTATCCAGTAAGATGTGCCCCCCAAACAATGACCTCATTTCATTGGTATACTTCAGATTGTACAAATCCAAGCCTTGAGTGGGTTCATTAACACTTTCCAATCACCTCAAAATGTTGGTTTTTTGAGGAGTCAAAATCTGGGCTGCTGCTTGTAGAACAGCCATTTCCAAGCTAAAATAACCAGCAAACCAAAGTTACTAGAGTAACAAACAGGGGGGGAAAAAAGCAGATTTACAATGATTCACTCCATTACACACATCACTGCTGTGCTTTCTGGCTGTCAACATTTGAGTTCCTTCCATCACCTAACTCTCAAATGTTACAGAAAACTGTGCTTACCCATTTCTTCCTCATAGAAATATTTGGACAAATGTTACAGTATTAAAAAGAGAAGAGGAAAAAAAATGGGAGGGGAAAGAGAAAAGGAAAGATCAAAATCTGCATGAGGGCTTCTAACATACTCATGCACCAGATTCACATTACAGCTTCCAAACATGTGCACAGCACACACTGGACATGGTAATCCGAGGTAATTAACTCAGTAGCCATGATGTAAATTGCGTTTATCATGCAACCAGGACTCTCTCACCTGTTTTTCCCTTGAGGTAGCATATGCCAAATTATTACCATTCAAATTATCCCTCAGCCTTATCCCAACAACCCCAAGTAATTGTACTTAAATAAAAAAGATACAAATGTGTCCAGCCTTCTCCTTTTATCTGTCAGATCTCCTTGAAAAATTAAACTTGTGTACAGTGCAGGCTGGCCAATACATAAGTTTACAACAAAGGCTTGATGTCACATATCCGTTGGACACTAAGGAAAGGGAAACAGGAATTCTTAGACAACAAGCCCAGGAATCCACCCCCATGCTAGGAAGAGGTCATGGTCTGGGATAAAACAGTGAAAGAACAGATGTGTAGCACTAATAACCTGGTTCAGAAAAGGTTTTCTGACATTCTTCTCTCACCAGCCTAAAGCAATACAGCTGAATTTCTCTTCCTCTCCAGATTCTACAGATTCAGACTGCAGCCTTGCTGGGCTGTCACCAGTTGCAACTGGAGAGCTGAGGACAGACTCCCAGCAGTGACTTTGCAGGGTGTTTTCAAACACTTTAAAAAGCATTTGAACGGGGCCTATAAAATATGTAGGATAAATGAATACCAAAACAGCCAGGCTGGATAATAGCCTTACAGGCCTGGAGTCAGGGATGATGTAAATGTAAGTCTCTACCCAGCCCCAACACAGAGTCCCAGGTGGCCACCAGCGCATGCCACAGCAATGGCTCCTCAGGCCATGTCTGAAGGCAGCATGTGGCTGCCCGAGTGGGCAGTGATGTCCCACAGCGTGGGGCTCATGGAAATAGGGCTGTTCATCTGTAGCTTTAGAACTTTGGCAAGCAGCACGTTACTCCAGGGACAGCATCCTGCTGGCTGTCGCCCCCTAAGGGTGCTAATAGCTTCTCCTTGTGCCCCACTGCCATGTATTCTCTGAAGGTGCACACGTGCACAATCACAGTGCTGTTCTCCTGGTTACCATCCACAGGGAAATAACCAGCTTACTTATGGCAGGCATAGAGATCACAAAGTCAAAACAGCGATGTCAAAAGCAAGAGGAACAGGAGGTTACAGCAGTGACAGCTAAAATGAGTATGTTCCCATTCCTGTGATGTGAACAAACCTCCCTGAGATCACACTGCTGGGATGTGAGATGCTCAAACAGATTTAAAAACAAGCCACCTTTGGTGAAGCTACAATTATTTTAGCTGTCAGGACTGCAACACATTAAGTTTGCCGCATGTAAGGAATACAAAGTTATTCAGAATAGGTTCAGCATTGCTGAAGACAGGGCAACAACAGTGTGATCCAAAAAAACATGCAACAGAAAGGATCCTGATGGCAGATGTGTTGCAGCAGGGTAAGTACAAGGCTTTTTGCATATTCACTCATCTTCCCACAGCATCTTTTTGTGGGGAATGGAAGAGAATGAGAACAGTCATACTGCTAAGCAATTTGGACGGCTCCTCTCATTTTATTGGAATCTTGATAGTCTTTTCTGCAATCAAAAGAAATGAGAGCCAAGGGGAACTCTGAATCCATCATGCTCCAAGCAATGTACAGTGCCCTGTTCTCCCTTTAAAAAGCAGCAGATGTACTGTGTGCATTAATTAAACAAGAGCTTATGAATTTCAGAAGCAAATCAACTCATTTACAATAATACAAGTACAGCACAGCCAGAAATAATGTAGTTGTGCAGAAGGACTGAATTTAAAAATAAATGTGTGATTGTAATCTCCAGATGCTGCTCTGGCTTGCTGGGCATTATCCCAAAGAAGAGAGTTGATCTGATACATGAATAAAAAATTAGTGTCTTTGGCACAGGTTGAAATCTGCAATAGGCACAGAGAGAAAGGCCCCGATATGCCAGGCTGCCAGAATGCTGGGCCCATTAGGAAAACTTGGCTCAGTCCTGCCAGTCTCCTGCACAAAGCTGAGTAGCATCAGAGCTTGGTTTTCATATGGGAAAATCATTATTTAATGACAGAGAGACTGAAGGGGCATTCAGCCAATGACTGGGCTGGATGATCCCTGCCAAGAGGAAGGGCTGAGCCCCTGCGCCCTGGACCAGAGAGGGAGAGATGCAAACGGAGCTCATGCATTTTTCCAGGATAAATCTTGTTACTGAGCTTTGGGAAAGGCTCATTTTTGACTCAGGTTTTAAAGGTTGATTTTGAAAGATGCAAAGCCCCAAAGAAGTAAAAGTGCCCTAATCCATCAGTACACTGAACACTGACAGCCCTTTCCAGGCTCCCCTCAAATGCATTCCAAAGGGAGCTGGCACGCTCCTTAAGAGATGGAGCATGAAAGACTGGGACAAAGCTGTTTGAAAAGACAGATGGCACTGCACAATCCCTTCGCCATTCCAGGCTCACTGCCTCTGCTAAACTAGATGCAAAATGCATCAAGATGCCAGCCCACTTTCCTGTGCTCAGCCTGTGCTCCTGAGGTCAAGAACAAGGAAGAGAAAGTACATTTCTGCATGACTCCTGTACTACAGGAGGCTGTTTCAATAATGTACAAACAAGAGACTGACAAGGCAGGACAACGTGAGCCCCTGTGTTTTTGGGAAACAACTGCAAGTAACTGAGGAGAAGCAGAAGAGTGGGATGAGATTTCAGCTCAGCATGGGGCAAAAGGAACAGAACTGAACATAGTCACAATGCAGATAATGGTGTTTGACTGGGGAGACATTGCTCCCAATGCTGGGGATGTGGAGGGAAGAGGGATTAGGAGAATGATGCAGTTCCTCTGGTCCTATAGGAGACAGAGGTATGGGCTGTCCAGTTACACAGGCTGAGTGAAATGACTCAGCCAGAAAAAGCCTCTGAGCTTGCAGAAGTAATCCCCAAATGATCAGCAGCAATGGAAAGATCACTATGAAAATTTTATCAGTTATGTTAACAGATACAGTTGTGAAAGCCCATCTGAGGAAGCTTTGCAATGTGATACTGAGAGCTTTGATAGCGAGTAACAAATTTGAAATACAAGCTAGGTACAATGGAGCAGCTCTGGCAGAGGACAAAACCCAATCCCTTGCTCCTGCTTCATGTAATGGCATGGATGATTCTGCCAAACAGTCATGCAGGACAGTAGAGATGAACCAACTAACCAGTGAGGGGCTCACGATGACTTATTCAGAGCATGCGACTGACCTACCAGAAACCTATTACTGTGACAGGAAAGGACAATGCAGTTCAATCTCACACTTGAACTAAGCTAAAATTAAAGAGCACTCTACTCGTCACAACAGGTCAGCTTTTGGAGATCCTTTGAAATTAAAACAATATCAGAGTCACAATTCTGCTTCACTCTCTTCACTCACGCTGTTAACATATTTGCCATATGACCTCCACGCTGCAATTGCAGCACAGAAAAAAGCAGTTACCTGACTGGGCAGTCAGAAACAGAATAAAGAGCTGTTCCATTGTCATACTGATGCAGTAGAGCAGCTGGATTCTCTCACTGCTGCTGAGTAAGGGTGCTGATAGTTTTTTTTTGTATATGCAACATACTCAATGAAATCTATATTCCTCTAATCTAAAATAACATTTTCCTCCACCTTCCTTGACACAGGATAACAAAGCAACATTCGAGTTTCACAGGTGCACCATCTCAGCTCCGGAGCACTGCTGGCTCTGTTCCTTAGAAATCTTACCTTGAAAGGAAGGCCTGATGCTGCTTTATCGTGTCCAGTTCGTAGGTTGACGAATCGCTCCTTTTCCGTGGCAGCTGCTTCTTTGGATCCTCTCCGTTGCTACGGGGAATATCAATGTTGCTCCTGCTGAGGTGTCTGCTGGCTTCCAGATTAGAGCCGCTGGAGCAATAGCTGTTGTTCACTGTTATTCCAGGAGATAGCAGGTCGGTATCCTGGGATTTGAAATACATGGACTTATCACTCTGACAACTGAATCATCCACATTATATCCTCCTTCCATCCTTCTCAACACATCTACATCAAAATCTCATTCACAGCAAAGCCCACCAAGTCCTGGGATTCACGCACACTACGACACACCTGCTGGCCATCAATTACAAAGACAGACTTTGCTGTTTTGTGCAAAGATGCTCACTAAAACCAGGGGCTGTGGCCAGCATACCTATTCCCAGCAGACACAGCATTACCTGGACACTCACAACACTCCCTCTTCGACTGCTGTTTTGGCTCTCAGACACAGTTTGATTGCTGTAGCATAAGGCATCAAATCCCAGAATTCCTCCAACACAGTCCCCAACCAAGCAGACCTGAAAAAGGCAACAGAGACGGGGCGGGGAAGAGCCCTTGGACTTCAGTTCAGAGATGACAGTTAAAAGGAGTGCTGGATTATACTTGGAAAAGCTGCTGTAACAGGATAACCAGTGTTTTTATCAGTAAGACTATTTTGTCAGAAAACATCCGCTCATACCCTGCAGACTCTTGCTAGCCAGCACAGCTATCACGTTCTGCCTTTTCCCATCTGCCAACCAGAGCAAGGTGAAAGCAACAGAGACTGTCTATGGCCCTAAGTCTAGGGTCAAAAAAGCAAGCCTGAATCCCTCCTCACCAGCTGCCCACACCACCTCAGGCAAGCTTTGCTGTGCTTCTATTCCTTGTTTGTGCTGTCAGGAGATAATGCTGTCCTGCCTCCAAGAGCATTCAGTAGATAGGCACAACACAGCACTGAGAGCCCTGAGCAGAAGGTGGCTTTCTGCAGCCCTGGGGCTGGGAAGAAGCTCAGGGTGGATAATATGCACAACATGCACAGCCTGTTCAATAGCTCAAATTCCACTTGGGCTACAGGGTCACTCTGCTCACAGGAGTGTGATGCTCAGTGATGGTATTTTACAGGACAGAGGACTTGTGCCACCTCGAAAAAGAAACCTGTATTTGTGACAGACGACTCTAGTGAGAGCTGCTGAAGGTCCTTTAAAAAGGGGAACACTGAAACATCCTTGGTTTGCAAGGGGAGTAGCAAAAGTAGCTTTCCTGATTTGGAAAAGTGTGTCATGCTGAAAACTGATTAACTTCACAGCCTTGTAGCTTCATTTCTCAACACAAGCTCTGACTTTACTTTGAATCCCAAAGGTTCAAGACAGAGCGTAAGCAATAATCTCTCTTTCAGAAAGCAATGGAAGCACATTTATTGCAGCTCAACACTTCTGCGCTTCCATCCATCCCGAGAAATGAATGGAAAGAGCTTCAGAAGGAAATTGCTTCACTTGCTCTTCCTTTCATTGTGGCTCACCTGGCCATTGAATGACATGCCCTCCTGGGATCTGATGAACTCGCTGTAGGCCTGGTTGGCTCTGATGATCACTGTGGCTACTGCTTCTTGGTACTGAGGTGATGATGTTGCTAGCAGAGGGAGGGCAGCAAGGGGAATATGATCCTGGCTGTTGGATAGGCAGCCTTCATCATAACTATATGGGCTGAGGCTGGATAGAGCAAGAGAGATTGGAAATACTAAGATGCAGAGTGGGGAAAAGCATTTACAAGCAGTACAGTCAGTTGTGAGGACTGTTAAAAAAAAAAAAAAGCCACAAGACAGAATGGCCATTTACTCCAAAGTGAACACATAAGAAATTTAATAAGTCTTTCCCTCCCATCAAACGTAAATCTTGAAGGACAGCACCTTACATGGATAGAACAACCTTCAGACAAGGAACTAGAGCCTCAGTATTTATTGGATTAATTAGAGTAAATCAATGACAAAAGTCTTGCTGCATGATTACTGTATTCACTGCAGCTAAGTATGAAATTGAGATGGAATGCTTCTCTAGTATATTAATAAGTGCACTCTTGTAGCGTGGTCAGAACTTTCAATGTGCAGAGTATTTAATGAATGCCAGATCAAAAAAGAAAATAAAAAAACAAGCATGAAATTTTACACGTCTGAAAAAAAGTAGCATCAACTTACCTGGACACCAGTGAAAAAGCTTCGGAGCAGATGGCTGGGCAAGGGACTAGCCTGATGGCAATGTGTCCAAGAGCAGCTGGGTAGTGTACCCTCATCACCGTGTCAAAGACAGTCGTGATGGTGTTGACATCCCCTTGCTTAGAGCTCTGATCACCACTTCCCGAGTCTAGGATGTTCCCTCCATGGAGTACTAAGAGGAGGACATGGATTTTACTTGGCTGCATTAATGGCTGCACTGATTCATCCTAGGTGGGAATGAACAGAGCAAAGTAGAAAGGTTGGTTTTGCAAAGAAATTATATTTGTCCCACATGGATTTTAAGGAAATTTTATCACCTTTTTTCCCCCAAACTCATACATGGTACTTACAACACATGCACTAGTTAAATAGGTTTAAGACTTCAGATTTGCTTATAATGTTGGCAAAAAGGAACTGAAGAGAAAAAAACCTCCCTATAAAAAAAGTTCTCCATAACCAAAGGGCTGGCCAACAACTGGCTCGGTGGCTGCTATACAGACACACCACAGGTTTGTATAGTGGCTGCCCACGTCGTTCACTTACGATGTTGAATAAACTCCTTGCCTTAAAAGACAGGTTGCAGTTTGCATTTGAACTCCAGGGAGGGTTATTGTTAAGTTTCCCAGAAGAACAGCTCTCAATCTGATCCTGATGCCCTAAGATCAGGTCCAGAACATCCATTTGTGTCGGTCACGTGTTATAACGCAATGGAACATAACCTATTTTTGGTATCTCTCCACTATCAGGGCTTTCAGTGTTAACAGCTCCTTTGCAGACTCTAATCCCCCCACCCCAAAACCTGTGACATGCAGAAGCAGGTACTAATCCTTTCTCCTGTGTCTCACCCCACATGGTAGCAGAGACAACCTCTGAGGACATCCTGGCTGCTTCCCCAGGGGAAGGCAACTCCCTGCTGAGGCACTGCAGAAGACACTAGGAGTGGGTGGGAAAGGGGGGGAGGGAGGGGCAAGCAGGATTTTCCATTGGGCAATTTTTTCTTATTTTAACATCTTTAGTCACCTGCTGTCTTTTGAGCAGTGATTGAACCCCTGACAAACACAATGGTGGGAGGGAAGCATGCCCAGGCACACATTAGCAACCTAACAGCTAGCTTGCATTTTTACCAGATAAATGCTAAAGCATGTGTTAATACGCAGCCCACCAGAATCATTAAAATTCACATAAGATGTAATAAAGATTTTCCAGACCTCCTGCACAAGAACAGCCTTTAATTATTTAGCACCATTACATTATATTAATGTCTGCTCTTTAAACTTTCTCCGATTCCAGTTTACAGTGCTTGCAAGGTGAACTTTTCCCTGGCTGGAGGCATCAGAGGACTTCTCTGCATCTAAGCACTGCTTTCAGACAAATGTTTTAAGTGCTCATTCGGAGAACAACATGAGTCACCAAGCTCAGGTCATCCGGAGGTTTATCAGTCATTTGGAGGCGCCGTTCCCTTCCAGTTCATTAACCTCTGCTCTTAAAGGAAGTGGGGAACATGCAAGCAACTGCTGATTACTTTAGGGGTGGTGGTGGCTACTTAGAACTTTCCTGTAAGATCTGGATTCGTGTAAGACAACTGAATCTTGGGCTACCTTTTGGTGAGGGAGTTTCCAAACAGGAAATCCCTGCTGTGGTGGCTAGAAATTTCAAACTGTTTTAGTGGACTACTTGTGAACAACTACAAGGAAAAGGCTTTTTCAGCTCTCTTTCAAGTTTCTTTCCTAAAATTAACCCAGAAACGAGAATGACTTGAGGAGACTACCTGAAGAAGACAGCAACTCCTCTGCACCAATTCAGCTTCTGCATGAAATCTTAGGGCTGTGAGCTGCAGACAGCTCACCGTGAGATGGCTAGAACCACTCCATCTCCAGCAACCCACTTTCCCCATAGCCCTCAAGCTCTCAGTCTCTACAACAAAAGCCTAGCATGTAGAATAATATCAAATCCATGCTCACAGTCTTTAACTGACCATAACATAAGCTAAGCAGTTCACAATGGACTCTGTAAGCAGCCACATCAGCGGTGCAGCACAAACAGGCACTGCCTGGGGGGCAGGATGACTACCATGACTCTAAGGGACATCTCACTAGGACACTGGCTTGCAAAAACCTGCATACTCCAAGACTGGAAAGCCAGTGGGGTAATCATTTCTTATTTTATCCGGAGCTCTGATACAGACTGTGCTATAACTGGTTTCCAAACAAGGCCCTGAGCAGTTCAAATGAGTGGGCTGCAGCTCAGCTGTGTCAGTGGGACTATTGCAGCCTGCAGTTACACAGCACTCCTGTTTCCACTAGCTCACTTGGCATTATCAGGGCAGTTCTACCAGCAGTGCCTCAGGCAGCTGTTATCCCCACAGGATCAGTGTTTTTTCCAGCTGGATACCTAACACTGCCTGCAAACGATTGAAAATTTTCTATCTGATGCTCAAAAGGCAGGTGAAATAATCCCTTAAGCCTAGCCAGGGAGTACACAGCATACCAGTGTGGCTTCAAATGATACACAAAGACAAGACACCACTCGCAGCGAAGAGAGCAGTTCACCCCATTTACCCCACATGGAGACGCTCCAGCAACAAGGGATCTTGTTATAAGAAACCAAAGTGCTTACTTCAATGATGCTGAGCCTCTCCACACTGGAGCCAACGTGGTACTCTGCTGATGTCTCATGATACAAGTCACCTGCAAGCACAGAGGTTTAAGATGTCAGCAAAGCAAGACACTTTGGCAAAGACACTCTCCCTCAGAGGCAGACTGTGCCAATGCCTCTCAGCCTCTTTGCCTCAGATTGCCTTAATTATTTCATCAAATTGCCCTCTCCTTCCCTCCCCCATCCTTCTAGCTGAGAACCTGGGCAATGCCAGGCCACTTATTTTCCAGCAATTTCTCATAACCTTAATAAGCACTTCAGGACACTGGCAAGTTCTACTCTCCTTACAGCAACCCAAGCATCCTCATTTCATCAGGCACTGCATCAATGGGAAATCCCTGCACAATTCTCAGAAGTGATTCATATGTGGGAAAATAAAAGGAACCACTGCAACTGTACTGGGGGAGCAGAGATCTGAGGCACTCACACGTCTGCGTCTACAGCACTGTACTAGAAAGCCTAAGTGTCATCCTTCACTGTGTTGCTACATGAATCGAGCTAGTTGAGGAGTCCAATTCCTTCCAAAGTTTCGTAAGGATGAGCAGAAAAATTGAAAAAAAAATTGAGGTGGGTACAGATAAGAACAAAGGATGGAGCAAGAGAAAAGAAAAGTAAGGAGAAACTGAAGTAATTCAAGACAGAGGCAAAGTATTCATCATTATATGAATGAATCCTGCCTGTCACACAAAGGAACCTAACCAACATGGGAAACGAAGAGAACCAAGCGCTTCCTTCTCTCATCTCCCACCAGGCAGCACCGTTCCAGCAGTGCTAGGCAGTCATTTCTACGCTCTGCCTCAGCTTCTCTGATCATGAGATGAAGATAACAAGTTTTACATTGCTCAGAATGGGGCTGTAAAAGTGACCTGGAAAAACTGTGAAATATCACATGCGGTTTTGACTGAAGAAAAAAAAAATTACCCTGGACATCATCACATTCGGGGGTTTCAATTTTATCCATCAGATCATTGGAACTCCATTTGGTTATTTCTTTCGGGAACATTTCCTCATTGTCAGACAAGTCCTCTTTAAAAAACAGATTTTTTGAGTCACACACATACAGTTATGTATACAGACAAGAGCACAGAACAGAATTTTAATCAAAAGACCCCATAGCTATATGTAACCTTACAAACATCCTGATGGTTTAAGTCATCATAAAACACGATACTTTCTCAGCTTTCATTATGTAGGAAAAGAAGCCTATTTTGAAACAGTCAAGAACATGCAACGAAAAGGTTCTGTTTCCAAACAAAAGCCCTGAGGTGTGGAAAACATGACACAGGTTCTTAGAACAACCATTTGAAGTACAAAGTTAGACATTTTTCCGGCCGCACTTTCTGCACAGCATGACCCTGTATGGCTGCTTGGTGATGCTGAGCAGCCAGCAGGTTCCAGCAGGAGAGGACAAAGCAACATTTGCTGTTGGGATCCTCCCTGAGTTATGTGAAAACTGAGCGAGGTCTTTGGGGGAAGCAGTGATAAGAATCGCTGTTGTTAACAGGACCAAATACCTAAAAAGGCAGAAGTAACAAAGGAAACTGAACTCCGCGGGCTATCTTTAGCCTGATTTCCTCAGGAGACAGGCCACACTGCCTCCACGTCCTCCATTTCCCTCCTACCTCAAGAGCTTCTTCCCAGGCTAATTTCAGCTACAGCTGGTAAAGAACAAGGCTCCCCAGAACACTACCTTCAGAGAAATGTAACGAAAAGGAAGAGGCATAAAAGGGACAGAGCCTCTAAAACACTCCCTGGCAGCATCCAGGAAGGTGAACAGCGCTGAGCCCCTTGCAGAGCACTCCCACAACTCCCACACTCAGTGCTTCACCAGGACAAGTTCTGGGAAGAGGAGCAGAGCCCCGGGGCTGTACCTGAACCCACAGCCAACAGCAGCAGCTGAATGCTTACAGCGGTGCTTTTGCTATGAGTTGCTGGTTCCTTCTCTTTTTTTTTCTTTTTTTCTTTTTTTCCCTATGTTAGGGATGTGTCTTTAACTGTTACAGAGGTTAATTGGTTTCTAATTTGTTTATTGCACTGTGCTTATTATTCCTTTCCTGAAAATTTTGGGTTCATAAATTTAATAAAGAGATATAAACATAATAATAACAGCAGCAATTACAGATGTCTTGATCTAAAATCTTTAGAGCCCCAAACGAGGGTTCTCCCTTTCTTGGTGCTGTGCAGTCACTAAGAAAATAATCAGTTGGAAGAATCCCAGGATCAGGAAACAAAGAGATTATGAAATTTATTATTCTTTTCAGTGTATCTAGCTAGGTCTGAGTGCACGGCCGAGCAAAGACCAATTATTTTTAGGAGTTTCTATTTACACGTTGACCACAGAAAGACAGCAACCTGGAAACTTCGTACTGGCATGCCATTTCCTTTTTCAGCTATGGAAAAAGCTGAGTAAATCCTCTGTGCCCCACGCAAGGGAGTATGGAGTACCTGTTCCCAGCAAGGAAGCACATGCGTGCAGAACATGTGCTGGCGGAGAATTAAGAAGATTGCACTCAAAGCTCCTTCAGCAACTTAAGCTTAATATTGAACTTATTTCCTTGAGAGGTTTAATTGCAGCCCTTATTGCTACCTAAGTGATCACTGAAAGGGATATTACTCCCGTTATTAGCATTTATTAAGGGATAGGAATCAGATATTATTGTACTTGTCACCTCTTTAACCAGACTCAGTGAACGAGGATGAGTGGGAAGTCCAAGACAAGAAACCTCCCCGAGCTCAGAGTGCACCCACTGCACGCTGAGGGAACGTGTGTGTCCATGGGAATCACTGCTGAGGAGCTCTGCTGGCTGTTGACCCTGATCAGTTCCACTTCCCACAGCACTGACCCCGCATCTCCCAGCACGACGAGCCTCCTGGCTGCTGCTGGGGTTACTTCTCCCTCCTAGGGACCTTAGGAACACTCCTGGGATTCCCCATGGGCCTGAATCCCAAACATCTATCTCAATCTATCTCCTTTTTATTACTGAGTAATTAAAAAGAGAAGAAAAAAAAAAAGGGTGGATAGCAGTGATGCCATTTCAATGACTCATTCCTCTTTTCTTGTTATGTATATTGCTACAATAAATCCTCTACCGTTTCTGTAGGTGCTATGTAAGTCAATAAATTGACCTGAAGTTGGCCCTTCTCTTTCCAAACAAGATGAATTCATCACTTTGACTCACAGGCATCCTGGCCACTTTCTACCTCAGCATTTGGGATGCATGCCTAAATACTGGATGTGAGAACTCTAGAAGATACCATCAGTTTTGTGGATCTGAACTTCAGCTGAACATCACTGAAATTCTGCTTTACAAAATTGGGGTGTGATCTTCTCACAATTTCATTTCAGAGAAAGGTCACCAACTTCATCAGCACACGTTGCACATGTAACTTAGATTAGCATTACAAGCTGAGAGGAGTCCATCTGTTGTCGGCAGAGACAGAGCCTCCCAGGCTTACATACATATTAAGTACAACATATAAAATGAATGCAGTGGAACAAAGCTTCTTCGTATAATTACATGGAAAAAAAGAAGAAAGAACACCAAAGAATTCACCAAATGTGAGCAGTCAAAATTACTTTGGAAATTCTGGAATCAACACTGATTAATTTTGGCACATGAATTACCCTGTTGCATTCATTATTGTACTTCCAGGAACAGGAGGATAAGGAGTTAATAAAAGCAAACTTCAGCCTCTTCAGGCCCAGTCAGAACAATTAATCATATCCTTTACTGATAAAAAAAAATTATTAAAACATCAGTGTTACTGAATCAGAATCATTAAGACACACCCACAGAGCAGTAAGCATTGCTAAATTTTATCCACACATTTGCAACAAATAAAATACAGCTCCAAAAGGTTAACATTGCTCAAGATCACATCAGACAGATCACAATAAATCTGAAATGCTGCCGTGTTAAATACAGGAATCTGCTGGGTAGTGCTGGGGAAGCTCGAAGAAGCTGCACTGATGCTGCAGACAGCTTGGTTAGAATGGAACAGACCCTAAACAAAGCACTGAAGCCTCGCTTCCTTCCCCACACACTCCCCACAGCTCATGCTTTCCGCCCTCTTATCCCACTGCTTCAGGTAATGAACAAGGTGATTTAGGTTCCACATACCATGTGCATCAAAGAATTCATCATCTGAGCTGTCATCTGAATCCCTGGCAATGCTCTGCATCCTCCACTCTGAGATACTATGGCGTGAGGGACTTGCTGGAAAAAGCAGAAAAGCCTTATGCGAAACGCTACTTCGACAAGACAGAGAGTTCCCAACATGATCTTTGCTGGAGGAAGAGTTGTGTGTTCTCTGCAAAAATGCACTGCTGCAATATTAAAAACACAAAACCCTGATGATGCTGATGTGATGTCAGTGTACCACTTTACGGATCCTGTTTGTTTACTGTTGTTATAACCTGCCAGCAAGATGCTACATTAAAGCAAGCTGTTTGTATCACTCTTAAGCTATTTTGAATGGCAGCTATTTATAATTGTTAGTAGGACGTGCAAAATCAGCTGGGTTTTAAAGTTTGCAATTAGGAAGGAAGCAGGCTGATTGGAAGCTTTCTTCGTTCCTCTAATCAGCACACAAGCCATGCCTCTGCTTCACTAACTTTTGGGTGGGTAGCTAAGCAGAGCAGCCTGGATAGAAATAATCTCTTTTCTGGAAGGAAATTGCTTCCACACAAATTGGATTAGAGATCTATTTAAACTTTAAACTTCAATGATTTAAACAACATGCTATCCAACTACTTCGGAGGGGAGCTGTCGGAGCAGCTGTCCTGCTGCAGCGAGGAGAAAACCCAACAAACCTTTTGGTTCCTGTCCCTGTTCACCCCCCTTTCTTCACACCTAGCTGCTCCCTTTCTCTTCCCTCTCCGGAGTTCCCTACACTGTATGGAAATACAAGGCAGCACTATTTTTTCAGATATATTTCAGCAGTGACGGAGTCTGAGCTCATCACAGAAACGTAGTCCAGTGAAGGGAACGGCTCAAAAAATTAGTTACATGGTTTTTCCCCTTTCAGATTCCTCTTGCATGTCACAGAGGGGAGTGCACACCTCACCCAACACAGCAAAAAATCAAGGAGACTGACAAATTCTCATTTAACATTACAAAGCCTCTGAAAGGCTCCGATTCCTGCGAGAGCTGCACGAGCCGTTTCATGCTATTGCTGCAACATCGTTAAACATGTAAGCCAAAGGCTTCCAATTTCAATTCTGCTACCTGACTGTCACGTGCAGAGACGAAGGAGACCCTGCATAGTCATCTAATTGCAGCCCAGCAGGGGTTTGGCAGCCCCCAGCTCCCCACCGCCCACCCCTCTGGAGCTGGGAGTGAGGAGGTTGGCAGAGCGCAGCCCATTCACGCTGCTGTGACGTCAAAGCACTCGCATAATGGATGCTAAAAATAGAGCATATAATAACATATGGGATGGCGAGGAGGGTCCTGCTATCACCAGAGGTCTCACTCGCGTGGTATAGAAAGGACTGAGATCTTTGGCAGAAAGGCGTTTGCTTTTTTCCTGTTGGAGGTAGCGGTGCGTCGACACAGCCCTCCTTGCTTCCATATGTTAACGTGCCACCAGAAAGATTAAAATATCTGCATGACGTACTTCTCAGCACATCACAAGTCATTTCTTCCATTACTTTTTCCTGTAAAAGCTGAGGCAGTCTGCAGTTTCAAACAAATCCACGCTTTGCTCTTAGCGAAAACCTTCAAGTAAAATCCTAAAGGGTCTGAAACCTACAGCTGCCAATGAATACATCAGCACTGAAGGGGGGTTCATAGCAAAGGGTGTAGCGAGAGATGGGCGCATTGCCAAAACATCCTGGTGCAAGCAAAGTAGCATTTTTATCTCCACACAAGGATTTATGAAGCGTCTGGTAGGTTCTTCCCTGGGGCTCACTGGTGAGTCATTGCAAGGTAAAACTGCTGCTCCTATCTCATTCACCATGTGATGAAATCAGTGATGGAGTGGTAAATAAAAATTGAGAATCAACTCCAATATTCGGTACATGTGAGAAATGGATAAGCTTCACTCACCCAGATGCCTCTTCCACCGTCCCTGGAAGAAATGCTGCCTCCTGGGGCTTCCGAAAAACCAAGATTTTTGCCCTCTTGCTGAGAGAGCTATTACCCCATCTACCAGCTGCGCCTGACTGAAAGGAGAGAGAGCTGCTGGGGATTCAAGCCCTGTCTCCCTGTAACTTGCATTGTAACTGAACCCTAAACAAGGTATCTGCTGGGGCTTTAACAGCAAAAGCCTGAAAGCTTGCTGAATAGTATTTAAAGGGGAATGTGATCATGATCCATGGTCTCAACTGGTTTCAAGTTAGCTATGAGTTTTGGTTCCCAAACAGCCAACATGCACTACCACTGTGAAAGGCAGCGAACCCCAGCCCCTCGTCCTTTCACAGCACCTGCCTTAGTTTCTCCAGCAGCTGATGGAGTCCTGCGGTGCGTCAGCTGCACTGCAGCATCATGCAGTAAGGTGTAACTGCAGGCAAGGGCACGAGGTGCCCGTTGGTAACGGCCTCCTGGATGAGCACTTAACTGCCACCTGCTGCTGGGTTCTGCACCCCGGAGCCAGGCGCAGCACAGCATGCAGGCAGGGAGCTCTGCTGAAGGATGAGGGCTTGTAAAAGCCACCGGCGGCTGTTGGGGAACAGGGCCAAAGCCTCTCTGTGCTGCTTTGTTTGTCATTTTCTGACACCCAACACTGCTACCCAGCTGCTTCCTGTTCTTCTACTGCTTCTCCTAATTTCTGTGCTTTCAAGAGGCTTTCAAGAGTGGCTTTCTCGAAAGCACAATATGAATTCTGCCATATGCCCTTCTGACAGTCACGCTTATGGGATAATGACAAACATCTCCAAACCCACAGGAAGCCACCTGAGAAGACTGAACCTGAAATACCAGCAGAAATTTCTTATGAGAGCTGAAAGAGCCCACAAGAAGAATAAGCACTGTCCCAAAGGTTCCAGCCAGCCATAATTTCCTAAAGCCCAGCCTCAGCACAGTTCAGATAAGCATCTTACCTCCTCTCTTTGAAGACCGGGAGGACTTGGAAGAGGTGGACCACTGCTTGGTGAGCGATCTCCCAGAGGCTGTTTCACTGTTACCAGAGACATCTTCTGGGTCCACAGGTGAAACTGTGTCAGTTTCAATGTCCTTCTCACCAGGAGCATCTTTGACTCCGTGCTGCTCGGGATCATTTTCACCACAGAACTGGGCCATCTTCTGAGCCAGCATCAGCTGTGCCTCTTTCTCCAGCTGCCGGATATCCTCGATGGTGAGGCCGTACCATTCGTCCTGCCAGCACCAAGCCTGCCGATGGGCACGGACCATGACCTTCCGCAAGCCTGCAAAGCCAGAATGTCCCAGTCAGCAGTGCTAGAGAGCTGCAGGAGGAAGTGTGTTCCCTTCCCCAAAACCTCAAGACTCCGTGGCATTGATATTACAGAAGCGTTGACAACATAACGCATCAAGCTGTAGATATGGATGTTTGTATATCAATCAAGGTTGGAAAATCAGTCATTTCTGTGCTGTACCTCCTCAGTTCTTGCTAAACAATCATCCACTGACAAATTAGCTGGTATTCTGCTTTTAGCTTGGGAAGGCATTGCATAATTCCACATCCAAGACTTTGCCTGCAATTGCCTGCTCTGCCAAGGAAGAGCCAGGCACAGGCCACAGATAGCACCCTTATGAAACTCTGGGAAGTTGCAACACGTAGATCCAGCCTTCAACATGAATGGGACATGTTCCCAGAAGAATGTTACAAAGCCAACAACAACAACAAAAAAAATCACATTTAAAAATTATTATTTTTTTTTTTTAACCCAGGCTTGTTTCAAGTGGTTCCTTCGCAATTACCACATAACCCACAGCAATATGGGACATGATAGAAGGGCTTCCCATATTGGTTATGCTAAGATAACCAAAAGCTCTCCTCTTCCTGGAAACCCTGCACTTGGTTTCTACACATCAGTAAAAAACCACCACAGATATGAGCTTCAGAGAGAATGGAATGGGAAGAAAAGGGAAGGAGGGAATAAAGCATACTTTATTTTGCAGATACGATCTCTCTTCCGTAGCACAAGAAAAATGAAGTGTGTAAAGCCAATTCAAAACTTGATTTCTATGTGTCACATAACTGAAATGAGTAACTATCTCAATATCAACACACAGTGCTCGCAAGGCAAGAGAAACTCTCCCCAGACTTGCAGCTGACGGCCAACATCACCACATCACCAAGACTTTTAGAGCAGAGTGATTGCTGTGGATTTTCAATCTATTTTACTGCTTAAAGCTCACATCAGGTCAAAGCTCCAAACTGTCATATATTACTGATGGGAACACCCAGCAGTAACAGTGCTTTTTAAAAGCTTCTACAAATACTGACAATCCTCAGGTACCAATCAATGAATATTGTTCCCCCTTTAATTACTGGCAGGCAGTAGTGAACTGACAGACACGCCAAGGGCAGCAGCAGGGCTGTGGGCTGCAGCTCTCTGCTGGTGTGCAGGTGCTCGAGCACTCAACTCTAACAAGACCCTATTTGAGCACCACAGGTCACAGCACCACCGCTGCCTTTACACCACAGCAAGCAATCAATAGGCAACATTAAAACCATGGATAATGGTTCCAATGCACAGGGGTTCTAAGCTGTTTCCAGCAATATTTGCTTTGCTGTTGTAAAGAGACCCTTAGATCTCACTACTGTCATGCCTTCTGTGATCTTATGCCTAAAGGCTATCTTTGTTTTCAGCAATTATTTTTTTTTTCTTTTTTATCTGAAGCATATAAAAGCTTATTTTTCTATGTTTATTTCTTTCCAGGCCTGGGCACTTTGTTTTCTGCTCTGCACTTCAGTTAGTCCTCCATGTCACCAGCTAACGCAAGCCACCCTATCAGGAAGAAACAAGCACAGAGATCAGCAGCTAACAGGATGGATCAGCTCAACCTGAACTTCATTTGCACAGTAAGATTAAGTCTATCAATATTTTATGCAGTTCTCTGCCTGACTTTCAAATGGGAGCTCCATTTAACAGGAGCACACTTGAACCAGCAGACTGTGACCTTCTGGGGGCTGAACAAGGAGCATCGGCCACTTAATTCTATTCAACCTTAGCCAAGATTCAGTGTTATTTCCCCCACCAGGTTACTTTTTGCAGAACTGCAGGAGAACATTTTAGCCTTTTTCACCTCCTGTTATGACTGACAATCAGCAGAGGTTAAAAAACAGAGATTAAACTCTCATCACATCCAACAGAAAGCCAAGAAAACCCTTCCTTTGCTATAGCTCACATCACAGCCGTCCTTTGGGCTCACCTGCTCCCAGCCCAATGGAATCTACGGACCTCCTCACTGGCACTGCTCATGTCAGGCTGATTAAACATCCCCCAAATCATTCTTTCTAAAGCCTTCTCTTCTGAAAACAAGATGGCATGATTCATCATTCCAGATCAGTTATGAATCAAAAAGACTGAGATTATTTTCCTAGCCTCTGGCCTTCAACTGGGACACCAGCAATGCTGCTCTTCTTTTTTTCAAGCACAGGAAGAAACCTGAAAGAGAGCAAGGCTGTCCAGGTACAGAAGAAATTGAAAAACAAATGCTGATGAGCCTCTACACAGCCATATGAATTCAAGATCCAGCTACAGATGACTGACATCATGTCTGAACATATGCAGTGGAAAAATTTGAGTCTTACAGTTTTTCCTCAACATGTCAGAGAAAACAAGCATATCTGGAAAGTGAAAGGGAGGGCATGGATCAGGAAACAGAGTGAAGTTGTGAAAAACTCTTCTTAACAGATCAGAGATGCCCAGCAGCACAGTGCTGAAGTCTTCCAATCCAACCCATTCTATGATTCCTCTTCAGAACTGATGGATAACCCCACAGTCTTGGCAGGCAAGTCAGCCACTGAAGTCAGTGAGAATGACAGGAGTTTTGAAAAGATGCAGGTAGCAGCTGATTACAGTAATACGTAGTAGATAACAAGTTGTTAATTATTTCGATATCGAGTAGTTAACAAGACTTCATTATTTCTCTGAAGTGCACAAAGCTTTGGTTAAAAAAAAAAAAAAAAAAAAAGGAAGCCACACATGCACATCAGTACACATTCAAATTGAGTTCAGAAGTATTCATCATTTTTGTGTTGTTTTAATTATAACATTTCCCACTGCGTTGTGTAGAAAGATGATCTGTGAAGAGTCTAGCAGGGTGCAAACATTTAAATCATTCACCTTTCAACTCACCACCTCACCAGCTCTGCTGAATCCTTCAGGTGCTGGCTTTTGTAAGTGACTTGTCTGTAGACTGTGGTGTTTAACTTAATTTCAAAAAAGAAAGTGTAAGTGAATATGACAAGAGTCAGGATAGCTGAACTTAAAAAGCATTTGTTTGCTGCTTGGGTTTGTTTTTCAATTTGAATTAAAAGTAGCAACTACAGCAATTAAAATAAAACAAACAAAAACCACCACCAAATCTTGCCCAGATCTCCTTCAACCATCTACATAAAGCAACTGGTCAGATGCCCATCGATTATGCACACAGTGGCAACATCCCAGAGCTTTTATAATGCACTCTCTCAGTTTCCTGGCAGCTGATAAAGGATGTCTGATTTTCTCCACGCAACATTATTTCCTTGATGGTCACAGCAGATTTGATATCCTTGTCAGCGCAGTTCTGGCTGTCTGACTGTATCTGATCAAAGGTGACTGCAGCTGTATCTGCTGACTCCCTGCCTTCCCTTGCTCAGTCCTCTCACAAAGGGAAGCGTGTTGTCACATCTGTATCGTGCTAATCACGATCCACCTTCTCTTCAAAAGACCAAAGCCTACCTACAGGTAACAGTGGGCAGTGCTCATCTGGATAAACTTTTGTACTGGAGTGCTTAAATGAAGACAGAGTTCTACAAAACAGCTTTCTAAAACCTCTTCCACCTCATCACTGCACAACAATTTGGGCACATTTAGCCAAAGACACACTAGCTTACTCAAAGTTCTGATTTCTGGGATGGGAACACACTTTGCCACCATATATAATCAATACACAGTCAACACTCTTGTTTAGCAACAAAAGAACTGTAGCCCACGTGCACGATTAGGAAGCAAGTGGGAGCAGAACATTATGCAGTGCCAGCCCAATTAAACTTAAATTCTATGGGTAAGGAGTAAAAAAGCACACAAATATTACAGCCAAGCAGACTAACAGCCCACAATTTTAGTTTGTGTGTCGGACTGTCAAAGCACTGAGTAACTGTCCAATTAGTCATCTGAAAAGAAAAAAAAGGTGCTGCACTCAGTAAGACTGAGAACATTTCAACACCATCCCCCAAAGTCACTCCCTCTTCACTCAGTAGCCCTTCCACATATAACAACCCATCCAGCTCTTAACTTAGAAGTTTCCTTCCCACAGGTCATTCTCTAGTTACAGTTTGCACCACTGAAGGGCTGCTCCCACCTCAGGCAAAGTTTCAACCCTGCTCTGGATTTCTGCCTCAGTTTTGTCCCCATTTTGATGACCCTGCATAGGGAGAGCTAATTCCCCAAGGAGCAGATTTGCAGAAGCCAGCAGCAGAGGAGCCAGCAAAGAAATGGCAAGGAAGAGTTGGCAGACAAACATTTCCAGCACCTGAGTAGCTCAGTCCATGACCCAGTATACGAACCTGGCCAGTCTGCCATAGCTCACATTCTCCCTCTTTAAACACCCTCACCCAGCCATCCTTTGCACACAAATTCAGACACTTTTCCCACTCACAGAGCGCTTGTCCAGGGCTGCCCCATCCACAGGAAGGCTACACATTTGTAGACCCCAAAGCTTTTGCTTTCACTTTTACTCACTCAGCTTTGTCTTGCCTTAAAGTCTTCTCTCATTTTATGCATCTTAACCAGTTTGAAAAACAGTATTTGCCATCACTGTAACAGAGTGGAAAGGCTTTTGAAAGGCAGACAATGAGCTGGCTGGGCTCTCTGCAAAGCCTCAATCAAGAGGAAAATGGCAGGCAATCTTTCATGAAACACAAAAGAGACATTTCTAAGGGACCACGGTTTAATCTATGCCAAACACCTCTGAACAACTAGAGGAGTCACATGCTTCTTTTTCATTTAGCAGATACAAAGGAGTTGTTATTCTGCCCCCATGTTTAGCAGCACACACTAAATTAACCCATGTCTCTGAAGCACCAAGGGAGTTCGTTGCAGAGAGCCACTTGTAATGAAGCCTATAGCAGGAAAAACTTCCATCTGTGGATAAGTAAAACCAAAGGGGCTCTAAGAAAGGAAACTGTGACTGTTCAAAAATGTTGTGCAGCATTCTCCACTGCTCTATCAGTATTTTCCACATTAGCTCTCAGGAGCAGAGTATCACTAAGAAGAGTTATAAAGTTATTTACTTCTAGCATCAGGTCCTTCAAAGAAGCTTTGCATATGGAAAGGGACAGCTGTAGAGGAAAATTCACTGTAGACAGAAAGCAGGAAGCATCCTTTACATAGTCTTCCTTGGGACAGACACTGCTCTGCACTTCTTTTGACATAGGAATGTTTCTTTAAAACATTCTTTAAGTTACCCACCTGGCCATAGAGCCTCTCTCCCGTGGCAAGGCTCACAAAGTCTGTCACTGTTGTGTATAGATTTTCTGCAAGAACAAATTACTGCCAGTATTGCTACCACCTGCACAGTCCCCACTTAGTTTCTTCTGGAACACAAACAATAGGCTGCCTCCTTAAAAGCACTGACCTAAGAATAATGCATCAATCAAAGCAGCACATTTACTCACAACTGAGAGCCGTCAGTGCCCCATGGTGTGTTATAACACAGTGAGGTGGGGAGTGTGGAACACAGAATGTAAGGCCACACAAAGACCCACATGCCTCACCACAAGGCAGGCAGGATCCAGGGGTTGGTTTTCTGGGACTAATTAGGGCTCATCGTGGAAACTCATTTCCTTGAGCTGCCCTTGAGGAAATTGTCCAAAATAAAGAAAAATGGCCCGTTTTGAAAGAGATCCAAGTTTAACACACAAATCCTTATTTAAAAAAATGAACTTGAAACTCTTTAGATGGCCGCATGTGATTCAAATTCATGCATGCCATGACTATAAGTAATAGAACTACATTTTTCCGAACTGACCAAAAGCCCTGCAAAAGAGCAATCAGATCTGACAATCCTGGGATATCACACACTGCACATACCTCAACACTGTATTTTAATTCAGAAACAACATTAATGAGTCGACAGTGAACCTTGCAAGTCTATAAATGCTCACCAACATCATGGATAAACCGCTCGATTTTTGACTGCATCCCCCAGTATCTGAACTCGACTTTACAAAGTTTATATGCACACATGATGGGGTATTTCCCAGGGTTGTTCTTGTACTCTTGAATCCAGTCTTCTGATAGAGGGCCTCTTTTAGTCTTCATTGATTTATACAGCTTTGGATCCTCTTCAGCTTTGTATTCATGTGGAGGGATAGGATCTTTAACTATATCAATAGGATCTGTAGAAAAAACAGAAGTAGATAGACATTTCCTGAATAAAAGAAGAAACATTTTTCAGGAGTTATTTGTTTTAGCCAGTACCAGAAGCATCATAGCAATTTAGTTTCTTTTTGACTTACACTTATATGACTGATATTTAAATTGTTTATATGCTGCTGCTGGGTAGAGATCAGTTCTGCCAGAGCAACTTGTATGCACAGAACCAGCAAACCAAGGCTTTGCTCCAAATCATTCTGCCCAGTCACTACAGGTACACAGCAGATCTACTTACTCCTTTCTTTCCAGCTCCAAAAATATTTTTTTTTGCTATTCCATCTCTCAGTTTTTCAAACATGACTAACCGTGATACAGCTCTGCCTAATCTGAGACTGTCAAACACAGCATCTCCCCTCCTTTTTTTTTCCCACTACTGTTATGGAAAAGGGGCTGCCTCTGAATGTTATATCTTTGGAACCCATTACATGAGATTACTGTTCACTCCTCAAACCTTACTGTTACACCAGATGTAATAGGGAAGGTAGAAAGTTCAATGCAAACCCAAATTGTCCTAATTAACGCTTCAACAATGGAGAAGTGGAAATCAACATATGCTTGCTCTGTTCCCATTGCAAAGATCTGAAACCCCGACCCCAGACCTCAGCAGCAGGATCTCCCTTTGCTCTTCCAACATTCTCAGCACGGCAGCATGACTCAAACCTGTGTGCTCAGACCGAAAGCCAGTGAGATAGGCTTAGGAATTGCAGACAAGCAAAGTGAAGTTTAACACAAGCAGTCTAAATGAAGTAACACTCAAGTCTAATTGCACAATTACCCGCCACGGTCAGTTTGTCAACAGAGCCTGAGGAGCCAGAGCAGCCACTAGGTGTCCTTCCCCAGGGCTCCCATTGGGCCAGCCTGAACTCGGATCCCTTCTGCAGCCCCAGGGATGCCTCGGCTCTGCAGGGCTGAACGTGCCAGCACTCTGCCGTGCAGCTGGGCTCCAGCAGATGCTGTCGGTACAGGCAGCATGGACAGCAAGACAGAGGGGTGCTCTAACACTTGACATTTTCTGCCATTCGACAGGTTATCCTGTTTTTGCCTTTTCTCTTGTTCAATCCTTACAAATGTAAGGCTCATTAATGCAATCTCCCAGACAGCTGTGAAGCTGGAGTATTAATCTGCACAAGGTAATGCTAAGAGAAGAGGAAGCAAAATGAAATGCACCTTCCATTTTCAGAAATGCAGATAGGAACGTTCTTCATATACACGAAAGAGATACTCAATCACACAGCACTATTTTCCTCTTCAGTGGTTATTTCTGTTAACCCTCAAATCTTTAGATGTGCAGCAAGGTCTCAAAGCATGAAAACCATTCACTTCCTTTTACAGACAGGAGGAGTTTTACATCAAACTTAGAAGAGAACTCAGGTGTTCTCATTCTACTCGATGTAACCCTGCCCAGCAGTCAAACCTCTGATGGGTGTGCATTTCCATGTTTGGGGGGTGGATGGGACACGACAGGGAGGTGGGACATACCAAGAAAAATCCTTTACACAACACAAAGCAGAATAAAGGAAAAGAAAAGGGCTCTTCACCTAGAATGGTTTGTCTTTTTTCTGCAGGAGAAAGGTTGAAAACATTGACGTGCTCTCCTGGATCAGTTTTGTAGTATGTCTCGATATCAATAGAGAACTTCTCCACAAAAGGGCACGTATACCTGGAAGTGAGAGCAACACAGTTAGAGTAAGCTCTGCTCAGTCTGGCAAGCAGAGAAAATGCTTGCCTAAAATGTTCAAAATCAAATTCAAGCCAGTCTTCACTCATATTGTACTTCAGATATACTTAAATTAAGGACTGTGGAGATTAAAAAGACTTCAGTAACTTAAGACACAAGCTAGCCTTGGAGTTATGACTTCAGTGAAACCCCAAACCCGCAACACAAAGGAGTTTGCTCCCCATGAGGTGTTACAAGGATTACAGGTGAGAGGATTCCAGTGCTCCCCACAGTTACTGATGACTGGGCACCCAAACTGAACAAGAAACATCTTCCCAGCCAACAAGAAGCAAACATTGGCAGGAGAAAGCCCTGTGAATTAGGGCAACAGTGTCTCCCTCCAGAAGATGATTATCAAAGCAGACTATATACGAAGGAGCAGTTTTCAGAAAGGAGATAACTACAGAGTCCGATGTATCAACAGGTTTTATTATCTTTACTGATACGATACCCTGGAAATGAAAGAAAAAAAGCAGAGTTCCTGCCTGGAATCTGCAGCAGAATAAAATATGGACTGGTTTGGCACAAGGCCATGTTTCCTGGCCAGGCGATTCACTCACAGGCATTTCAAGAGGATGGATAAAAACAGACTGAAAATGGACTTCAATCACTTCAAAGTCATACAGCTCCATTACATTTAGTCATGAATGACTGCCCATACACAGATGCTGACACTTCCTCTTTCCCCAAATTCGTGTTTCCTATGTCAAGACCAGCTAAAACAAATCTATAAAACTTAAGGTTTCTGATAAATATCAAAAGATTCGGAAGCCTTTTTATTATGGAATATAACAGGAACATCAGACTGAATAGAAGGAACGATCTAAACCAGAGTAACTGGTAAGACAGTTATTTATTCCAGGGTATCTGAAGTCTTCCCAGACAAAAACGGAGGACCCAGATGGCTCCACAGAGCCTCCGACTCTCTTTTCTTCTCAGAGAGAAAACCATAGGGTGTAAGTTTGTTATTTTCTGTCTTGATAACAGTAAAATAGCTCCCAGAAAAGGAATGCTAAATCCTGCTGTATTTGATTGTGTTCAGCAAGACAACTTTCCCATCGCTATGCACATTTATATCCTTACTGAGCTAGCAGATAACTGCAACAGTAAGTAGAACACACAGTGCAGGAGATGAGACTAAATAAAAACTATTCAAGATTTCCCACGCTTTGATGGACAAACAGCTCACATTTTAGAGCAACCAGCCACAAACTATCAAGTACTTATGCAGTCAGCCCTGGCAACACTTAAGCTTCTGAGATTAAGCACAGTGTAAGAATTTCAGGACTTGGCACCTCATTTTCTCTGAAGGACATTACTGGAGATGTAAGACATGCCACTGTCACAGAAAGCAATGAATCCTCTCCGTAAAGTAGGGATAGAACTCTGAACATTCTGGTCAATTTTACCTTGTCCTGGTATAAGGGTAGGCATTCCATGATTCCTCTTCGACTCGCAGAGCTGCCTTGGGCAATATTGACCGAAACCAGCTGGGTATGTGCATACCAATGTGGTACACTTTGTGAGTATACTGCCCGTTCCCTCCTGGCCCATCCATGTATGGCCTGTTCTCCAGGATCTCTACTCCACTGCCTTCCCCACATGTCTCCTCTCTGCTCTTTTTCTGAAAGGGAAAATATACCACAGAGTTAATCAATACAACATAGCGAGGTCTCGAAGCACACAGACACTGGGGATGGTTTGTAGGACTCTTGCTGACCACAGTTTTATACAGCCACCAGAACTGCAGCAGCACCCTGGCAGTAGGAGTACTAAAACTAGAGATTATAAATGAAAGATTTAGATATTCATCTGGACAACACAGGAGGCAAGATATTATTTATTAAAGATCCAATACAAACCTGGATGACATCTCTAAAGCTAAGAGAGAATTTGAATGAAGACGTAATGACACAAATTCCTATGCTTACAAGAAGGTACACATAAGTCTTTCTGAGAGTGCACTGTCCCTTGGCTCCAGCTCTGAATCACCCAACAGCACAGAAAACTGTCACATCTGTGGGTAACAAGGCAAAGGGGGGTTGGTCTAACTTGCCAAATCCTTGCAGTGTTGTGTCAGCATGAAGAATCATGCACATGCTCAGCACAGCACCTCAGTACTAAAAACTGTTTTATGACCCAAACCCATAGGATCTGGGGCTTTGTTGCCTGTGGTCTGGCAGAGCAGGAGCTCTCCATGAATAGCTTGGAGACTGTGCTCTGCTAATTAAGATATTTAGAAGAAATAACCCAAATTTGCCAGAATGCACACAGCACCCCCTGGCAGCCTCCACATTTTGGCTTATTTGTAGCAGAGCCCCTCATTGAGGGACCTGGCAGAGTTTCCTTCAGTCAGAAAACCACTGATTTCACTGTTTCTAAGAAGAGCTAGAGGGAAACCAAGTAGTTGTCCATCTATAACACACTTCAGATCAGATTATGCATAACCTTCATCATTTCCAAACAACAGATTCATGGTGTTTCAAGTTGTTGAGTTTCTTGTTTGTATTTGAGAGGCTTTGGAAATTAAGAAAAAAACTGGAATTGTATACAAGAATCAACTGTGAAATATAACGCAATAACAAACTCTCACTTCTGGCATACAAACAATTCAAAGGAAAATGAGATTTAACAAAAAATGATGAATGAGATGCAAGAGATCAGCTTCTCGTCTATTCAGGCCAGGATGATAAGCCAACATAGCTATTTAAAAAGAGAACTTTTTCTTCCTAAATAACTCTCAAGTGATTTAAAAGTTAAACAGCTGCAACCAACAAATCCAAATAACTGACAATCTAAACAGTCATTTTTTCCTGCCCCACAAACTGCAAAGTACTGCGAAAGAGAAGGGCTTTTGTAAAGTTTATATCTAAAATTCAGCTGGCAGTTCATAAAAACACACATCCTCTTAAAACAAATTACTGCATTTCAGTTCTTTTGTAAGCACTGACCAAGCCTTGTACAAATATTTATGACAATAACATTAAATAATCTTGATAACCCAAAAATCTGATTAATTCAGAGGTCTCGCGAAAGGCAGCAACCCAGCAGGCATAGCGAATGTGTCAGACAGAATAGTAACATGGCATCTGCTCCGAGCAGTTGATACAAATTATGGAGATCTAGAGCTCTTTTATATGGCAGAAGCACAAGGAAATCACAAGCAGAGGAAATGCAGATTCTCTTAGTGCCAAGTTATCGCACGTGGAATCACAGATCTGCTGGGTTTAAAGCTACTGTTCTAGATTGCGTGGGTATCAACAGTGCCAAGTCAAACCTGCAGGTCCTTGGTTTGGACCAAAACACATGCAGGAGTTCTTCAACTTCAAAAGAAATCCACAGCACCGAGCAGCCTCAGTACTGCTGTGAGCATGCAAAGCCAAGAGTGCACAAGAGTGGTGTCCCCAGACTTACAACCGCTTGTATTGAAATGGAAAACCAAAACACTGAAGATGTATTTTAATAGCCATGGTTGACATTAAAACAGGCTTTCTTTCTCAGAATACTGTTTGATGCTCTTCCTTTCAGAGCTCCCTCACAGAGATGCACTGTGCCTTGCCTTCTCTGACAGCTCTTCAGCTCTAAGCCTGAACACTCAGCACCTGGTGCTGCTGATTCCAACTCCAGCTCCCACCAAACAGCAGCAGGCAGGGATGTCTTCTGCACTGTTTCCTTTATCAAAGCACCAGGCACTCGCTTGGTCACCTCTCCAAGAAGGGATCAACCCAGCTCTTGATTAACACAACTCCATTTTTGAATCTACCCGTATTGCTGATGGAAAAAAAATAACTGACACTCTTTGGGGAAGTCAGTTTGCATTGCACTTCTGATTTTTTTCTTGCTTTATTCATTTCTCCACTCCTGCAAGAAACCCCAAATCCTATTCTGACACAGTGCTGGCGTCTTCCTCTGGTCTTTCTAGATAACCAACTCCAGTCCACAGACCTTTTTGTCAACTGAAAATGTTCGGTGAGTCCAAGCCCAACACGTACATCCTGCTTGTCAATTTTCTATGATGGGACAGCAAGAATATTTTCTTAGATGAATGTGAAGAAAGAGCTGCACCCTTGCACGACAAAAATCAGAGCAGCAAAGTTCACACCTCAATCTATCTTTTGAGCCAGGCCAATTTCTACTCAAAGCACAACACAGCTTATCACTGGAACAGTGGTACAACCAAAGGGAAACTTCCTGTGAGCCTCACAAGGCTGCTTCCCAGCATCATATGCTCTCCTCCTTCCCAATTTGTGTGTAGAGAAGGCTGCATGCAACAGGAAGGTTGGGAAGGACCAACGAGGCCAGGTTAGATGGCAAACAGAACAATCACCAACCAGTCACAGAGACAAAAGGAAGATACATATCTGAGAGAATAAAATAAAGACATCAGCAACACGCACTCAACAGACCAGTCTGATGCTCTGTGCCCAAGTGGCTCTGTGAAAGTACACCACTTCTGGGAGCGAAGAGCAATTTGCTTTTCAACCACAGCCTCTTCATGGCTATTGTGACTCAGCTACAGCATGGAGAGAGCTTATCACAAGGAAGTGTCTGTAAACAACCATTTAAAAAATAACCACTGATGAGGAAAACACTTGGCTTGAGAAACACTGGGCATACACTCTCCAAAGAATACTCATCTGCTGGGATAGGCAGCTGTGCAGGCATTTGGGTCAGTGTTGGCTTCACAGACCACGCTCCTACAAAAAGTAGAGATTTTACTTAGTAGACCGCCTGAGTTATTGCTATTTGCTACCAAACTGGCAACACTATTTTCCCTCTACATGAATATCTGAGGAACAGTTTCCAACATCAAAGAGTACCTAACGGCCCCCATGCAAGATATCTAAGCTGTAATCACAGTAAACCGCCTTATATTGTATTACAACAGGAAATCTGGTCATCCCTTTTAGAAGTCCCTCTCTTCTGCTGATGACACTCGATGTTCTGCACAGCCCCATCAATAGCTTTCCAGGACAGATGGTGACACAGATCCCTTCTAGCTAAAGTAATAGCATTAAATTACTCATAACAGGGAACCCAGAGAAGCAGATGCACCATGATTAGCAAGAATTTCAGTTACTTAAAGGGTTCTATTAAAATAAATCTCTTGGCACAGCAGCATAGCATGGGACACAGCACATGACCTCACCGTAATAATCATAACATGAATAACTCCAGTGAATGTCAGTCACACATCAGGTGAGCCTAACCCCACTATCATCTGTCCTTCACGATGGGAGACATGAGGCTGCGAACAAAGACAGGCTGACCAGCTCCCTGATCCCAGCAAATGCCATGGAGTGCATCCTGCAACGCTGTGCTGCAGCCATCCTGGCCCAGCAGAGTGATATGAGGAGATGAATGCAGTCTGTGTGGTTTTTAGCAGGGTCAGTTCAGTGAAGGAACGACAGCTGCTGGCAACAGAACTCCCCAGGTTGACGATTCATCTTGAGAAACGCATAAGTCAAGCTGTGGAAACAAAACTTGCTTTCTAGGCTTTTTAGTAGAATTAGTTTAATTCCACTCCTCTTAGACACTCTGAATGTCTCAGCTATTCAGGAGTGACTCAGATCCAACCTGTCCCTGCAGGCCATGCTGAGCACATGCAGGCGGCGGCGGTGCACACAGGCTCCACGCGCAATAGAAACACCATCAGGAGGTGCTACGGGTGCTGTGCTGCATTTTGCAACTACAGAAGAACCTGGTTTCTACTGTGTGTTCCACACATACCTGGAGATCCACCAAAAAGGTCAGCTTTTAGGAGGTGTGTGAAAGGTGAATAAGGTGAATGTTTATTGCCGAGGAGGCTTAAAGTTGAAGAAGGCTGTATCCATTCATAGCATCCACTTCAAGAGGCCTGAGGGGAATCACACACGCTGAAAAAAGCTTGACAAACATTTACAAAAGATTTTGAATCCAGGCTTTTGTGAACTCTGCCACACAGCCTGGAAGCAGTCTCAAATCTCTGCCATCCCCTGCACAGCATTATTTCACGGAGAGAAAATCTGCCTCATTAACTCTATATTGCATTTACTTCGATATTAATGCACTCAGCATGCTCTGAGTGCTAATTGCACCACTGGAACATCACAGCTCCCTTCCGCAGACTGCAGCAGCACGGTGTGATGATCAGAGCACTCAATGCTGTACAGCCTGGGGGTCCCAGCACCTGGAAGGGACATAGGATTCTCTGTACCATCCTCTCTTTTTTTTTTGTAGTGTTAGCTCTGATAAGTAGCATCTCAGATACTACTTTGATACTTCACAGACTTTGAACATCTTTCTCACCAGGATGATAACAGCACAGAACTCATGGTGCTAACACAGTAAGAAGGGCATTATCCTAAACCACCAGGTCCCTGTTCATCGCATTTCACCTCCAGAGTACAGCACAGATGCGAACAAGCTCTACTCCATACACAGAATGTCTGCAAAGTCTTCAGTAGTGTTGAAAGCAGTTAAGTGGTTTCATTTCTTCTAAAGTTTTGGTTTTTTTCAGTTGTAACTTACTACTCTGAGCAACTGCAGAGAAGAGTAAAGATAGGGTGCATTGCATGGTGCTGATGGGCAGCCCAAGCATTGTTCTAGCTTCAAAAAAAATAAACTACAGCTATAATCTCACCT